TCAAACATGTAACGAAGAGATCAGAAAGTACCTGCACAATTAACAAACCATTAGTTCAGATGTTAATACAGACAGCAAAACTGATATTCCAGCGGTGTAGACACCCGGTGGTATATATGCACAACACGCAATAATGCCTTTAACAGTTTAACAAACAGTAAATGCTTTTATTTCGAAACATAACTTTATAAAATTTTGAAATATGTTTTTTTAATATTTGGAAACTTAAAACAAATCTGTCATAGATTTCTAATATCTACCTACATCATTTTCAGCTATATTTCTGTTTAAAACCTGTGATGTTTGACAAAGTAAGATTTCTTGAGAAAGGCACTTGTTTTAGGCAAGTCATTTGTGAGATATGTACTGACTGGACCTCCATTTGCAAAAAATGTGCCATAAATTAGGAAACTAGAAAATTTGCCATAGATTTGGATTCTTAATAATCTGCCAAAGATTTAGGATGGCATGACGTCATATTTACCATGGATTAGAAATCTGACATAGATCTGGAACCTGCCATGGATGTGAGACCTACACATAAAATGAAGAAAACAAATTGAGTCTTCAGTATATTAGACGATTTTCTCAAACGAAAATTAATTATCTCTTATATATTGTTCAAGTAAAGCATCTTTTTTGTTAATTTTGGTAACAGTTCATAATTATGATTATGGCAGTGAAATTTAGATACAGTACTTCGAGGTAAGGTTCACGTTGTAGAATTGATAAAATAAAATATTTCAGTGATATCACTGTTGCCTACTTTTAATGTATTCGCAGTTAACTGTGCTTTATTGAATTAACATCATAAGTTTCAACTAAAACGGATAGTTGCAAATACAGTGTACCGTATGTGTTCCTTAGATAAGATAATACTGTAAACAGGGATATTTTCGCGGCAGTTTTATTTTCGCTATTTTCGCGGTAAGAATTGAAACGCGAAAATTTCAATGAAACTCAATTCATAAGATGAAGACCATGCATGCACGTATATGAATAGGATATGTATAGAGAACCACTATATAACACCGATTTTACAGACGACAGATCTATACCTCAAATCATAACTGTATTTCTTAATGAAACCAATGTAAAAAATCATGACTTTAACTCAAGTTAATCGTATTAACATGGAAGACATTTCAAGCAAGCGGACATTACAGATATTGTTATGTAAACAACACTCGTAACACATATGTTAATGACACCTGTCAATCAGTTTGAAACGTATTACCTCGTTGAATCTGCGACACAGATAAATCAGATCAAAATATCGAATAATTAGCAATAATCCGGACAGCATTTTATTTTAATTCACTCTTAAATAGGTCTTCTTTTCTGTTATTGTGTATGTGTTTTTACAAGCAAAAATGACACAATTTTTAATCTCATTTAACATGAATGAACCGAAAACAAAAGCTTTCTGGTTGATTTAATCACTTGATTTGCGATACATGTAAAACTGTTCACTTTCTAAATCATTTATGAAAATATTTATATAGGCCAAAGGAAAATCGCGAATTCAAAATGGCGCGAATTAAGATTGTGTTAATAAATCGCGAAATAAAAACGGCGCGAAAATTTCCCGGTTTACAGTATTTGACTTGAGTTCTTGATGTCTTCCGATTGAACTATGGTATTTCTATGATAATATATGTCACCAATATTTGGATAAATACCAAAATACATAAAACTGAACTTTTAATACATTTTATTGCAATTAATTGGTCGTACGTTCGTTGCAAAGTTTTTACTACATTGTATCACACCATTATCAGTACATAAGAAAACAAATATTTCAAACTACGCGTAGTACTTGGAAATGCCTTAAAACGAAAGTAAGTTTGTGGTTGTAGAAGAATTTCAAAAAGTACTAATGACTTTTTTCAGTTCAAGGTTTTATCTGTATTCAATCAGGTAAGCTACTAACACAATTTTCGTTTGAACAAATCAACTCAATTTGAAGACCCGAAAAAGAAGAAGGGAATGTTTTTTTGTGGAAGAAAAAAACGTTGTTAATGCAGTCTTGATTTATATTCTAAAATGGACCTGACGACATACATTCTATTTATAACACCTTTGAGGAAAAATCAAGATAGCCAACATATTTTCGTGAATTGTTATATTATGATATCTAGAATTAACTACTAATTTTGTACGCTAGACGCGCGTTTCGTCTTTAAAAGACTCATCAGTGACGGTCGAAAAAATAAAGTTAAATAGGCCAAATAAAGTACGAAGTTGAAGAGCATTGAGGACCCAAAATTCCAAAAGGTTTTGCCAAATTGAGATATAGGAAATAACTTTACATTAATGTTCATAAAACAAATATTGTTTTCCTTGGAAAACCAGAATCTGAAAATTAAGAAGTCAAAAACTAAGATTCCAACTCCCTAAAGTAATTTTTACGTTCCTTTGTTTGTCAAATATGTTCGATGAAGTAATGTGTTCTTTGTAAAGAAATCGTATATTTCTGATTTGTTTAAAACTTACTGTTTATTTATTCTGACCACTTTCAATGCAGATTGTTTTTTAAATTGTTTTAAACACAAGGCCACTTCTAAAATTTTAAAAAAAGGTAATAAGATCAATCCGTATTTTGTCCCAATTGTAAAAAAAATCTAAGAAACAATGCTTATAATTTGCTACGTTAGACGCGCGTTTCCTCTACATAAGTCTCAGCAGTGGCATTCGAATCAGAACGTTTCGAATATGATATAAAAGACAATAAAAAACCGAAAGTTCCGAAAAATAAAGTAGTTCATAAAAACTGGTTGTGTTTTGAAACAATCATTTTTTCTGTTTGTCTTTTTGTTGTTTTTTTTTTTTTTGCTATAGCAAAGTACATAACTATACCAAATACAAAACAAAACCGCTGTTTTTACATTTTTGACTGATCCAAAAGATCGAAAGATTTTTTTTAGAACGGCTCTACAGTAAAATAAATTCAGGGGAAGTTGACACTACCTTTTTGTACAGTGTAGAGACGGTAAAATAAATCAAGTCATAGTTTTCGTTTATCCCAGGTATAAAAACCAGCACAAAAATACTTCAGTAAATAAACTATCTTTGGTTGTTTCTTTTAAATTGGTCACATTTTATAGACTTGTGAGGATTTAAATCTTGATATTTGGTATAGATTAGACCCGTCTATTGATGAAGACTATTTAATGCGTTCTTGATGTCTTTTTGTTAATTTTATTGTTACGTTGCAGTGTCGTAACTTTAACCGCACATCTTCTTTTGTTCAATTCAGAAAACCTATAGAAATTCATGAAATTGTAATTTTATGGAAAATAATAAACTATGTCATTTCTCTTTTTATTCTTAACCACGGTATGCTGTAAAAAAACTAATTTAATTTTATGATGGCATTAAACATTTATCGTGTTCATTTATGGATCTGTATTTGATATTCGCGTGTGTCTTTATCTGGCTTGCTGGTTTAAATTGAGGATTCCTTTTTCTCTCCCCCCCTCCCCATCCATAAAAAAAAAACAAACACCATGACTTAACTGGCACAAGACATATCTATTATAAAGGTTGCGTCCTGCTAACCGTGGCATTTATTAAAAATTCTTCGTCCTGCTCGCATTGGTTGGCATCGTGTGTATACAAAAATGATCAGATTTGACAAATCTTTCTATTTCAATACGGCTTGATGTTTTAAAGAATTAAAGAACACAAGGCCTATCTGTCTGATTACTAGTTACTTCCCGACATACGGAGATAATTCTAAGCGAAAAGGACTTCCATTAAATGGAGCGCAGTACAAACGTATTATGCATATATCGTTATATTATATTCACAGCTACGATATTTCGGGAAACCAACTTTCAGTAAGATATTTCATGAACAGTTCACCTATAATCACCATTTATAGACTGGTTAAAAAAGCAGCTACTTTCTTATTAATCATAATCTTAGATAATGGATTACAAATCCGAGGAATCGGATTACTCAACCGAGGGAACAGATTACAAGTCCGAGATAACGGATTACTAGTCCGAGATAACGGATTACTAGTCCGAGATAACGGATTACTAGTCCGAGATAACGGATTACTAAACCGATGGAACGGATAACTAAACCGAGGGAACGATTACTAATCTGAGATAACGGATTACTCATCCGAGGGAACGGATAACTAAATCGAGGGAACAGATAAGTAAACCGAAAGAACTGGTTAGTACACCAAGCCGAGGGAACGGATTAAAAAATATAAAGTTTATACCTTCCCGGGCTCCGTACATTTAGGATATTATGTAATTGTGTATTTTTTAACGACGCTTTCCAACAAGCTATCAATATTTTCGTAATGCTATATGTATCAATCTTTAACCAAACCATGACACATGTGACAAAACCTTGACGAAATTTGGAACACTTAACCGAACCATGCCATTGTTTAATGAAACCATATCAATTTTCGTTATTATGCTTTACATGCCTTAATTCTAAACAAGCATAATATCAATATTGAAAGTATGACAAAACATTGACTCAAACATTTTATCTACTTTGTGTAGAGAACTAAATCGTAAGGAGAAGTGACAATCTGAACCAAATCATGACATAATCGCTGTAATAAAAAGCTCATCGATATGACAACGTTACTACCTGTGATATTGATTTTAACATGGTAAATTATTTCAAAGTTCCATCAGTTAACCATAACTAGTATTTATTTTATCAAAGCAAAGTTTTCAGAAAATTATACATTCTGTTATCTATGTTATCAAAGCAAAGTTTTCAGAAAATTATACATTATGTTTAAATATATTCGTAGGTGCATATAATTGACAGAATTACCTGTATCTATTTTTATCTTTGAAAATTTTGAAACGGTTTTTATCTTACATACTGTATATTTATAGATTAAAGGGAATGGCATTTAAACTACCAATTATTCCGTTTCAACTTTAAACTTTAATCATGCATATAAATAAAAATCGACACAAACGCAAATGTTACGTTATCTATTTGAATTTATTAACCATCAAATACTCTTTGCATGATGTTGAGTTAGTATTCCCTTTATAACAAATGTACAAAACTCTTGACGCCAATACTATAGAACGATATAGATACTGTAAGACTTAAAATATACAATGATGTCATCAAGTGGAATTCGAGATATTTGCTGATAAAAGAATAAACAAGCTTATCTAGAAAAAAAAAGGTTTATTGATCCTTTTAAGAACAGTGATTAAACAAATCATACAATAGGTTATTTATTCAAACAAGATAAATTGATTCAATTCGTTACCAAAAGGGAATAACGCAAAATGGTAAGTGTCACAATTTTACATATAGATAGTTTTGCATCAAGGCATTGTCTTCTAAAATAAATCAGCTGATATAACCGACGCTGCTTTTAGTCTTTTTGTGTTAATTTGTTTCATTGTAGTCATATATAAAAATGAAAAAAAATAGATTTTACAGTATGTTAGAAGATTTTCTAAAACGAAAGTTTACTATCTCATATATATTGTTCACGACAAGTATCTTTTCTGTTAATTTTTTGATAAAATTGAGAATGGAAATGTGGAATGTGTCAAAGAGACAACAACCCGACGATAGAGCAGACAACAGCCGAAGGCCACCAATGGGTCTTCAATGCAGCGAGAAACTCCCGCACCCGGAGGCGTCCTTCAGCTGGCCCCTAAACAAATATGTATAGTAGTTCAGTGATAATGGACGTCATACTAAACTCCAAATTATACACAAGAAACTAAAATTAAAAATGATACAAGACTAACAAAGGCCAGAGGCTCCTGACTTGGGACAGGCGCAAAAATGCGGCGGAATTAAACATGTTTTTTGAGATCTCAACCCTCCCCCTATACCTCTAGCCAAAGTAGAAAAAACAAACGTACAACAGTACGCACAGTAAAACTCAGTTTAAGAGAAGTCCGAGTCCTATGTCAGAATAGGAAACAAAAGAAAATAAACAAAATGACAATAATACATAAATAACAACAGACTACTAGCAGTTACTGACATGCCAGCTCCAGACCTCAATTAAACTGATTGAAAGATTATGTCTTCATCATATGAATATCAGGGACAATCCCTCCTGTTAGGGGTTTAGTGTTATACCGTCATAAAATATATGAGAAGAACATAACCCGTGTCATGCCAACAACTGGTTTTAGAATAAATGTGTTTAATTCCGATGCAAAGACCGTATAAGTGAATCAATATTAAAGCCAAAATATGCAATTTAATGACCTGACAACAGTATCGTAACTATATCCCTTCTTAATAAGTCTGTTTAAAGGTTTTGTTAGCTTTTGAGGTGAATACTGACATTTTTGTGCTTTGTAAAGAATATTACCATAAAAGATTGGATGTGAAATACCCGAACGTAAAAGATGTCTGCATGTTGAGTTATATTTACGAATGATGTCCTTATACCGATGATAAAATTTAGTAAATGTTTTGACTAGTTTATGATATCAAAAACCCTGGTGTAATAATTTTTCAGTAATATATAAATTTCTCTCGCTAAAATCTAATACGTTGTTACATACACGGGCGAATCGTACAAGTTGAGATATATAAACACCATAAGATGGTGACAAGGGAACATCACCATCTAAAAATGAATAATTAATGATAGGAAATGAAAAATCATCTCTTGTATCCTAAATTTTTGTATTAAGCTTCCCGTTAATGATATAGATATCAAGATCGAGGAATGGACAGTGGTCATTGTTAGTATTAGCTTTATTTAAAGTAAGTTCAACAGGATAAATTTCTTAAGTATACATACTGAAGTTGTCATTGAGAGCCAATATATCATCCAAATATCTAAAAGTATTGTTTAATTTTTGTATCAGATGTTGTTTCGATTGGTCTTTGCTGATTTAAGGCATAAATTGTAAATTGAGGTCTGATGCAATTCATAATTATGATTATGGCAATGAAATTTAGATAGAGTACTTCGATGTAAGTTTTATGTTGTAGGAGTGGAGTGATAACATTAAATGTTCTGTGATATCACTGTTGTCTACCTTTGATGTTTTGCGCATTATTCAATTGAATTATTAGTTACGACTAACATTGAAAAAAGTAAGTTTGAAGTGACAAATTCACTGTACCAAATATTTTCTTTAAATAAGATACTGTTTGAATAGGGCTCGGGTATATTCTATTTGAACTATGTCAAAACACTGACGTTGGAAAATTATTTTCTGTCTAAGAATTTTAGGTACGTTCAACAAAGGTACACTCTTTCTGTATAATATTGATGGCCCTGAAAAGGACTGTTTACGAGAGATTTCTTCGGAACTAGATGATTTTCCAAGCCTTGTTTTATGTTGTTTCCTTGTTACTTGATGGACTTCTTACCTGGCCGTTGCCATTTTGTATACAGGCGTTATTTTTTGTCGGAGTTATTCACCGCTCCTGCCAATTTTTGGAAAATCATCAAAATTAAACTATGACACGCGATTCCGTATTAGCGAATCAAATAATTACTATATAATTTCAAAATATGGTTTGGAATTGCAAAAAAAAATGAAAATAGAAACAGGGAATGTGTCAAAGAGACAGCAACCGACCACAGAGCAGACTGACATGGGACAGGCGCAGAAATGCGGCGGGGTGAGATCTCAACCCTCCCCCTAAACCTCTAGCCAATGTAGAATAAAAAAACACACAGCAATACGCACAGTAAAACTCAGTTTAAAAGAAGTTCGAGTCCGATGTCAGAATAGGTAACAGAAGAAACTAGGCAAAATGACAATGATACATAAATTAACAAAGGACTACAAGCAGTTACTGACATGCCAGCTCCAGATCTCAATTAAACTGAATGAAAGATTATGAATATAACATTAGCTCATTTCGAAGTCTCACCATCACAACATTATCAATCAATAAGAAAGTATTTATTACACAGTACACTTCGTAAATAGAACCGCTTTAAAGTGAAAGTAGTTTTGTGCAAACAGAAAATTATTGAAAAGAATTTGAAATAGGACAAAATCCATTGACAAAAAGTGAAAATGACTTCTTTCAGTTTAAATTGTTGTTTGTACAAATCACCCAATTCTTAGAATCGCAAAAGACGGCGTGTATTGATGTTTGTTTCGAAGAAAAAAGTTATTATTAATACAGATTTAATTTTCTATTCCTAATAGCTCCTGACGACATACTATCGTTTTATAAAACCTTTAAAAACTCATAAGTACGCAGACAGTTTTCGACGAAGAAGAAATACAAACGGTATTGATATGCTATGTAAGAACATTGTTTTATCATTTTTGTTCTAAAGCATATCTTGCTTTCGGAACAAACCAGGATTTGTAAATCTATGAGTTATTCAAATCAAAAAGTATCAACTGCCCCACATAAAATTGACCACTGGAGAATGTTGCTATTCATTTCATGTTTCTTTTGGCCACTTGTTAATCTCGCAAGTGCCTCATATGAAGTGCTAAATGTATTGTTATTCTTGCAATTACGGGCTTAATGGTGAATACTTTTTGTTTTAAAAATGTTATTCTATATTAATTCTGACTCTAATTTTAATGCAGACAAAAAAAATTTAATACACAAAGCAATTTCTAAGATTTTGGAAAAGGTAAAAATATGAACCCGTAATTTTTCCTAATTATAAAACAAAAAAACAAAGAACAAAAAATTATCAATGATAGTAGGCTTATAATTAAGTTCGCCAGATGCGAGTTTCATCTACATTAGACCCATCATGGACGCTCGAATCAAAACAATAGTAAGGCCAAATGAATTTTAGTCTTAAACGGTCATCTTGATCTTCACTTTATCTGAAAAGTCTGAACAATATATAATTCAGTCCGGTTCAGTCTTTCAGTTAATTTTCAGACTTTTCCACTGCGGTTTAATCAGTACTGTTCAGACAATTCGCTTGCAGTCAATTCAGTACTGTTCTGTAGCTTTTAAGACGATTTAGTGCGATGCTTATGTGTATAGGTAAAAACAACTACAGTCTGAACATAAACTGAATTGATCATACTTGACTGCAAACGATTAGTCTGAAAAGCACTGAATCAACCGCAGTGGAAACGTCTGAACATGACTGAAAAACTGAAAATAACTTAATAATTTATTGCTAAGTCTTTTAAGGGCTATTAAAATCAAAATGACCGTTTCAGATCAAAATTGATTTACTAGTGATACAATGGAACGAACTCCTTCTAACAAAATTCGAAACAACCATATTTTTTGCTATAGCAAACTAAATTAAAATTCCAAACCATATTTTGACAGATTTGACTTGACCCCCTATTAGGACCGAGAACACAGTTATTTCGTAGTGCATTTCTTTTAGACACAAAATAAAAAACGCAAATTAAAAAAAATCACACCTTCTCTATCAAAAAAAAAGAAGGGTAGTGTACTATTTTTGGGACAAATTATATCAAAATTATAAAAAAAAAGTCTATCGGCTCATACTCAAAATATAGACAAATTTGTGTTAAGGGGTTTATAATTCAGTTTGACAGCTTCAGACATACTGATTTTGACCTTTTCATATTCTACCAAATCACTACTTTACCTTTAAAGTCATGCCTCCATTTTTTTTTATGTAATTTCATCCCCCTTCTTCCTATTTTATGCATGAAATATAAATAAACAAATTTGGAAGGCACATGAAAAAAATTGCAAGTTATACACTGTCCACACTAGGGACTCTAATTATAGACAACAAAAATCAAAGGACGATAACTGTGTTCCCGGAACATTACCCCCGGAAAAAATAATTTAAATTTGTAGGTTATAAGCATATTGTTTTACATCTGCCGTGCAACCGCTTCCTGTTTGCTTGCAGATAATCAAGAATTTTACATAACTCATTGTACAAGGAAAATGTTCATCAATCTTTTCTTCTTCTATGGAAAGGAATAATCAGTTATGCTCCAGTATAAATGTTACATCAATCAATTGCATGCAGCGAAGTAGGTCCAGACCAGGTATTGGTCTTGTTTACTAGTTAATTTAATGAATCTGGTTAAACAAAAGCCCTTTTTATGAAACAAATCACTTTTATTAGTGTTCAACAAATAGATCAATATATCGGTTGTTTGAATTTGCCTAGCAATATGAACGAGCGGATGTTTCAGTTATCTTTAATCATCACATAATGTTTACGGTATGAGCATCACATGGTTGTTGATTGTTTAATACCCATTTTTTTTTTGATCAAACCCATCCCCCAAGATTTCATTAAAAAATATCGATAAACAAAATGTTTGTTAGTACCCAACGTTTAAGTCTGATGTTGACTACATGTTGTAGAAATAATAGGAGTTCTGTTTTCATTCATAATTAACTGTGGTTGATATAGAGTTTTAGTTAGTTATGATGACACTCTAATGTTTTTTTGATTTTTGTGTCCTTTGGTTTCATATCTTAATGAAGTCTACATCATATCGCTTTTGGTTTCTATCTATCTTTAAACTTAGGTAACCTTAGACATTGATTACCTAAGTTTAAATATTAATATCAACTTTTTGCAATCGGTGCAATTTTGGAAAATAATGAACCATAGATTCCCATTTTCATAAAGAAAGGAGTTGATTCTTATATCTAACTTTTACTTTATTTTGTTGTGGTGGTTTAATTTCTTACATTGAGTTAGTGATTTATTTAAACCTTTATGAGAAAAGGTATCAACCTATTTCTTTATCGGTAGCATTTTTTTTTTTGCTTTTTGCAGGGCCAAATGGAACTTGAAAAAATCTGGTGGTGCGGGTCAGAAAAAGAAAAGGAAGTCTGAAATCATATTAGTAATAATAATAAATATGTTCTTTTCGTCTCAAAAGGTGCATAATCATCTAAGAAAAACAACTACTATTGCCTCTAATTTAGTCTTGAAATTGGCATAAACGAGAGGCGAAAGATACCAAAGGGACTTTCAAACTCATAAGTCGGAAATAAATTGACAAAGCTATCACGAAAAAAAGACCAAATGACAAACAACAGTACAGAAAACACAAGATATGATAGTATTTGATCATTAGATTATTAAAATGAAATATTTGACACTGGACGTTAATCAACCAACAATCAATCATTAGGTTAATAGCCATTGAGAATAAAATATCGTATTGAAATAGTAATTTATAATACGTTTTCCACTACCTGTCGTTATAATATTATTCTCAGAATATACTATTTCTATATTTCAGACTTTTTAATCCGGAGTATATAATTTTTCGACAGGTTACCACTAGTAATCCGAATTTGGCTTTAACGGCCAAAAAGGTATTAACGACATTTAAAAAAGATTGATTATCATTAGATAACGATTGACAAAAATTAAAAATTGTTTTTAATGCATTTCAATCCATATCAAATTATTTTAATACCAGTCAAATAGATTCACTTGCGGTCATTCAAGTTAGTTTCAGATGTGGTTAAGCTGTGTCAAACTAATTAGCCACGCCCCAGTTAAACGAAATCAAACTGATGTTTAATCCTTTTAATCTTTAAAGTGACCGTATACCTACTCTGTGGTTGGACATTTTGATACTCGGTTAGCATAGAGCAACTATAAAAAGTAAAATCAAGCTTTCAATTGGTACAATTTGGAAAATAAATCACTATTTTTTTATGATTTTGTCGTGTACCCAAAATATTTCATAATTTATTTGTTCCCCGAATGCACCGATTGTAAGCTTTATTACCCTTCTGTAGTCAATAGTCGGTTATAGGTTGCACTTTGTAAATACAGCTGTTTCTCAAACCACGCCTCTTTTGGGGAGATATATAATATTCATAGATATGTTAATTTGTTAACGTACTGGTTCCCATTTATGATCTCTGTGTTTCATTTCATAGAGACATCACTTGGGAATGTAACCAGTATAGAAAAACATGGTAGCGCCTAAATTTTAATTCTTAGGAGGTCCAAAAATGGAGGTAAGGGTAGTCTAGAATTTTAGTATAAGTTTAAACTCTTAGAAGTTCAGGGCATATAAATGTTGAAAATATGCCGCACAGCCCTATATTTTGACCTTTGAATAAAATAGTAGTGCATATAAAGTTTCCGTTCTAGAATATTCTTTTTCAGGAAACTTCATAGTAAATGTGTCACAGTTTTAGCCGCAAAGGGAGTTCCTATGGGAAATTGCATTGTCTATATTTACAGAATTGCAACCTATATAGGGTTAAAAATTAGAACATACAGAATTTCACAAAATCTTGTTTATCTTAGAGATTTTGAAGAATTTAACTTAAATATGAAGTTTTATAAATATTTCATGAAGATTGAGAAAATCCTGGGCCTAAACTATGATGAGTCAGCATAAATTCACTGTTTACAGTATGCATTGTTTACTTAAAGCCATGAATTAAAAATCAATTCATAATATATGCCTATTTGTAATTTAAATTGTTTAGAAGTGCTTATATTTACTCTTCGCAGTCATTGCAACTCATTGATCCTTCTTAAATATTTTTGGGGGGGTGTTTTTGTCCTGTCGATAACCCAAAAGTAAGCCGTAACACCTAAATGTGCTTTTTTGTGACTGCGGCATAAAAAGTACACGCTAGAATTACAAGAAGACCTCAATAAAACTTACAATAGTGTGTTCTATCCTAAATATGTACCAACTATTCCATATTGCTAGAAACAGGGAAAAAATTTAGGAAATGTGAGGCCCAAGGGGCAAAAAAACAGAGAAAAATGCCTTCCCCTTGGTCATAAAACAGATAATTTAACTTCTAAATGCTATGATTTTCTTATTATAAAGGTCTTTTGTAAAGAAAACAATAACTGTGTTAGGAAGTTATGCAAAAATCCGATGTAAGCAGTCATTTCTATCAAACTTTTAGTGAATTTATGCACCAGACTGATATCTTCATAAATACAACTTTTGCAAATATGGCTTTGTTTAAACACTTCTAGTTCATATATTAACTAGCTTATGTTAGATATATGGTTAGGGATGATACTGTTGTAACATGAATTCTAAACTGACCATTTTAGGCAGAAATTGTGAACTTTCATTGACAAATAGGCATACAGTAAGATGTGGACTGGAGACACAGGCAGGATTGGATACTTTGTATAATCTTGAATGTTGGAATGATTAACTACTAAACATTACCTTTATAGTATTTTAAAATGCTTTTAATTTGTTATCAGAATAGTTTCAAACAGGTTTTAGACAGTTCATGTCAGAAAACATGAACATAGGGTAAGCTGGCAATAATTAAAGCCTTGTTTTCAAATTCTTTAAAAAATTAAAACAGGGGTAGGGGTATAAAATGTACTGTAAAAGGAAACTTAGAGTATATGCAGTGATTTCTATAAGGCTATAATTCTGATAAATAAGTATTGTTGTGAGAAAAAGTGTTTTTAGAGAGTTTTATATTTGAATAAATGTTTGTATAGGTTGCACTTTGTAAATACAGCTGTTTCTCAAACCACGCCTCTTTTGGGGAGATATATAATATTCATAGATATGTTAATTTGTTAACGTACTGGTTCCCATTTATGATCTCTGTGTTTCATAGAGACATCACTTGGGAATGTAACCAGTATAGAAAAACATGGTAGCGCCTAAATTTTAATTCTTAGGAGGTCCAAAAATGGAGGTAAGGGTAGTCTAGAATTTTAGTATAAGTTTAAACTCTTAGAAGTTCAGGGCATATAAATGTTGAAAATATGCCGCACAGCCCTATATTTTGAATTTGAATAAAATAGTAGTGCATATAAAGTTTCCGTTCTAGGATATTATTTTTCAGGAAACTTCATAGTAAATGTGTCACAGTTTTAGCCGCAAAGGGAGTTCCTATGGGAAATTGCATTGTCTATATTTACAGAATTGCAACCTATATGAAAAAAATCTATTGAACCGACAAATGACGGATAATTTATTTCAATTTTAAATGCCTTTAAAGTCTATTACAAAGCGAATTTATGAAGATTGATTATTGATCTTTCTGTGCTTATCGTCTAGTGGCAGATGTTACGTGTATGTTATGAATAACAAATAAACAATTGATACAATAGTTAGGTCTTGTAAAAAGAGATGATGAAAGATTAAGGAAGGGTAATTTGAAATGCCACTGAAAAAATTATGGTAAATTGGATAGGGACAGAAATTTAGCCATGCAACAGGCCATCTATAGACCCCACAAAAACCTGTTGCAAGTGTTCTTAACGTGCAAAGAGCGTGCCATTCCCTCTACACGAGCAATCTAATATAACGTCCCCATTTTTACTAGAGGCGATTGCAAATTTACACATCTCTCATTGTAAAATGGAATTCAATGGGACATTGCATTTTGGTCACGTCAAGTCAAGTGTATTTTTGAATTATGCGCCATGAATACATGAACAACATCGAAATGTGCCATTGTTATAAATCACTTTTAGTCGTCTGAATGAACTTGACTAGACTAGACACTAGTAAATGGATATATCATAAAAATTACTTTTGTCAATACAAATGACGTAGTTATTCTTTTAGTAGTATTCAGGAAAACATATCTCTCTTAAACGAATAGTTTTTCAAACGTTGTAAAAAATGAATACAACATTTGTTGACCTTTTTTCAAATCTCATTTAATCATTTAGAATATACACACCAATGAAACAACCAGAAAGTGAGGAAATAGCATGAACGCCAACAAGGAGCCAGACAGGTGCGTCGATAGGGAAAGCATCTCCTGCTATGCATGAATTGCCTGCCATGCGAATCCGAAATTATCTAATAAAATTATCGTCAGCTATTGACTGGGGTTTCGGTAGTGCCATGCTTTTTATAAAAAGGTTTGATTGCAAATGTTTCGGGAAAATCTTGCTGACTAAACAAAACATACATGGTTTTTTGTTTTTATGCTCTTAAGCTTTAATTTTTGGTATTTTATAATATTTTGTACCGAGTGTTACAAATAATGAGGTCAGTAAAAACGTTCCTGGCCCTTATGTATGCATTGTACGCTCATACCTGATAAGCTTATAATTATGTTGCAATAAAACTATTATATACCTCATGTATAATTCATATTTTCTTATTCAGATTTATAATTAGCGTATGTATGGTGTAATGAAGTCTCAATGGGTTATCTATATTCAAGTATTCTGGTCCTCATTTTATGCATATATACCAAGGAAACACATAGTTCAAGTAAGTTATACTTGCATATACGATATATGATACATTTGTTTATTGAAATTTTCAGTTCATAAAAAGTAAAGAGATTTACCGATATAAAACGTTGTTCTTCAATTCTTGAACAATTAAAAGCGAGTAATCTTTCTTGGACATTATTTGGTCCCCCCTAGTTTTGTGCTTGCTTGTGCCACGTCGTGTTGTTCGTTGTTCATTTTGTGTGTCTTCCTTTTTTTCATATTTGTCTATGATGTAGGAGTCGGTTGATGGTGGTTGGTGTGGTTTGTTGAACTATTCAATATTTGCTTTCGAAATTCACGATATCTTTTTTTTATAGATATCTGTATTCGCAATCTTTTGAAAGCATACACAAGTTTCAAAAAGACAGAACATAATTTAATTCGTTGATTAATAATCTAATTTGTAGTAATTTTGTATCAGTCATGTGATTGTAAACATTCGATATGGTTTTAAAGAAGAGTTTATGTTCTATCCACAGATTACTGTTTTTTACTCTTATTTTAAATTAAGGATCATTTGCTTGTGAGTATTCTTCTTGAATCGTACGTGTTGTTTTCATTTTTTACAGCGCTGGGTCGATACCTCAGCTGGTTGACTATCAATTCCCGAGGGTATCATCGGCTTAGTAGTCAGTACTTCGGTAGTGATATGATATATAACAAACCGTTCTTAAATTGTCCGTTTATAAATTTTGAAATTATAAAGAAACAAACGTTTCAACTCCCTCAGGCAAATTTGGTTTTAAATGAATTTGTGAATTTTTTAGGTCCTTTTTGGTAATATACTAACTAATACATGTAACAGTCCCGTGTAGAGTGTTCAATCAGTTTTACAAAATGGTAGAGACCTATTTAGTGAGGTTAGTGTTGCTCAGTTTAGTTTTTTTTGTTGTGTTTTGTGAACTTTTGTTTGTCGTTTCGTCGTGGTTTTTTTTTTTTTTTTTTTTTTTTTTTTTTTTTGCCATGGCATTGTTAGTTTGAATTTTTGATTTATGAGTTTGAATATTCCTTTGGTATCGTTCGCTTCTCTTCTAAGACCACCACATATATTGTTCACAGCGTATCTGTAGCTTAAGCTGATATTGGATTGTAATACTTTTGCAATGCATGGCTCCTAATCTGTGTTATACTCGACAAACGTATTGGAAATTGCTATACTGGGTCTTTTAGGCTGAAAAGTAGAAATCTGCTTATCGCCTTATTGTAATGGTAAAACATTAAATCTAAATGGCATACAGTTTTATTTTAAGAAAAATTATAAATATTGTAAAACAACAAAAAAACAATGACAAATGACCGTTTTTGTATAAAATGAAGAGATATTATAAACGCTACAAAGTTCTGCAGGGTTGGCATTGTGATGACTGTTTCATGTCCAAGAAATGTAAACATTGATACATTCAACCTATGCATTTTACTAGTAATTTCAATACAAACTTTTTTGGTAATACTAGATAAAATTAAAAAAAACCAAGAAGTGCTACCAAAAGATATTTCGTTCACATCAAGTAGGGATGTCAGCTCGCTGAACAATTACTAATCAAGTACTCGTTGGTTTTATCGGGTATTACTCGAGTACTCGCTCGGGAATATATCTACAACACGGAAACACAAAAATACGTACTTTATATTCTATGGTTTGTTGTTCACTTGTTAATTGACGAAAAACCATCTACATAAGGACAAGGAATGACACACCATAAACTATATTTCATTACCTAAAAGTACTAATTAAGTAAAAACAATAATATTATCAATATAACTTAATGAACACATATTTAAAAATTATAACAAAGAAAAACCAGTTCAAACAATAGTATTTGGTAATCGTTAAGAAAAAAAAACATTTAATGTTTACAAAGGCGTAAGGATTAGAAGTTTATCTGTTCACTGTGTGTCACCAGAGGATGCAACGAATGTATTTTATTTGGAAACATTTTCTTGTCAACTATTATTGGGGACAGTCGGTTTTGCAACTTTGTAAATGACAGTCTTGCAGACGAAAATATTCGCTCTGACGGTACCGATGTGACGGAATGGCTAAGACATGTTTAGTTTAAAGTGTTAGCCTAGGTAAAGCCCCCGTATTTCTTGAGGCATTTTAAATGACAATTTAGCACAAGCGTTCGAAACAAAATGTACTTTATTTACTAGTATGATTAATCAGTGATGCCTATTTAATTTTATGAAAGAGGTTCTCAAGAAGATCGATTTTATATAAAAAAAAACAGCAATATTCTAACAGGAAACTGATTAGTCGAGTATTGTTTTTGGTATTCGATACTCGGTACTACCGAGCGATACTCGAGTACTCGTTGACATCCCTAATATCAAGTAATTTGTATAAAACACATGTAGAAAAATTTGTTGTTATGTTATGCTCTGGGTTATATCTTAAAATCTTTTATAAATCCCTCAACGTAGGGAACTTTTACCCTTTTTTTTCTATAAATTAAAGAATTTCAAGGCATATAAGACCAAGTGCAATATTAGCTATGGTACATGATTATAATTTTCTGAACACTTGATGGATGTTATGTGATAAGATAATGTTCCACATCAAATTGCCTAATACTGGTCTTATCATACCTTACCGTTTAGGTTGAGAACAAATACGCTGATTGAAAAAAGTAGGATATGATGCGATATAACAGAGTCACGGGGGTTTGGGGGGTTTGGGGGGATAAACTTCCTATTATTTGGTATACGGGGATGCGCCAAAAATATGGGTCATAATTTTGCGAGATTTTATATAAAAATGACCCTTCTTTTTAACGACATCCTTTATTAAAATGCATTTACATTTGATAACTGTATATTGATTTGGGGTATGATCTACGTATCATATATAAATAAGCAATTGAGAATCTTACATTATTAATGGTCAATTATTATATTAAATTAAAAACTTAAGGGTCGCTGTATATTTATGAATTATGAGTGATGATATAGATTTAATGTTTATATGAGCATGGGTCATATTTTAAATATTGTATATTAGTATTTGTCATTCTTTCTTAAATATTTATATAGTATAACTATAGGTACTGAATTTCAGTGAATGTTATCTTGAAACAGGTACGTTTTTTGAGACAAAAATGGCATACCCCTACCCCAAAAAATCGAAGTAAACTCCTCCCCCCCCCCCGTGAACAGAGTAAATCACAGATCATATAATTGTATCTCTAATTCCTTTCACAGTTTAGAATGATTACGTTTAAAAATCAAAAACGGCAATGTGATAAATGGCACATGGCAAGCGTAACGCCAATGAAATTAAAACGGAAAATGTTTGATAAGAGACTTCAGAAAACTCTGACAGAATAAACAAGTACAAACATACCAATTCAGGGTAGTTACAAAATTATTCAGTAAAATAAGTTTTATTAAAATCCAGTTACAAAAGTGTAAGAGAATCAAAAAAAGTATTTGATCATCGCATCAATGAATATAAACAAAATTTTAGGGACATTTTGTAATGGAATTTTTATCGAGCTCATATTATCCGTTTCTATTGAGTGTAATTAGTTATCTCAAAATAACATTTCTAGTAAAAGAGAGGCGAAAGAAACCTAAGAGATATTCAACCTCATAAGTCGAGATTAAACTGAAAACGTTATGGCTAAAAAAGAAAATAAGACCAAAAAAACAAACATCAGTATGCAAAACACAACAAAAAAAATTAAAGACTGAGCAACACGAATCCCATCAAAAACTTGGATGATCTCAGGTTCTCCGGAAGGGTAAATATACCCTTAGTAGCTATGATTTTGAAAGAACCGTACATAAATATCCGTTCTTTTAAAATGAAATAACAACAGAACGGTACATATTAGTACATAATTAGTAGACGAAATTCTAGAAATACACGATGATAATGTATGTATAGATTATCGAAGGTATTTTAAAATGTTTTTTTTTGTAAATACTTTGAGCTCTATTTCTTGAGTTAAAGTGAAAATAAAAAAAATGATATATCTTTAAGAATTTCCTGTTGCACATGTTTTACCGGTCGTGTAATTCATGCTAGTATAAATTTAAATCCAGCGATAAGTTTTATTTGGTGTATTCACAATTTGGGAAAGAAGACGTGATTGTGACTACGACAATTGAAATATATCCCTGGTCATTTTTGACACAGATATTCCCTTACGGTCAACCAATTCGTGATTGCGTGCGTAAAACTTGCAAAGGGATGACTTCAACTTCAAAGTTTGGAAAACAAATGTAAAGAGTAAAGAAATAATATATATATAAATTGTTTTATTGTGCTTCTGAATACATGATAGAGCAGCATTGGTCCATATATAAAGTGTTCGGTTGAGTAGCTAAGGTCGTGCTGTGTCCATTTTATGGCAAAGTTCTATAAGTAAGGATCTATCAGGAACAACTGATCAAATACCCGTTTACATTCCAAAGAGATTTAAAATTTTTGAAAATGTTTTTGATGCTATAACATATTGATCTAATTTATTTTCAGTAACATGGTATATGGCTAACTCCCCAATTGTGTTCGGTGGTGATGTTGTGTTATACTGCAATGCCTCAATTGTGGATAATTGCTGCACCAATACGGCAACATGGATGAAAGACTTTGATGTTATTGTTCATCATGGAGCGTCAGCAGATTCGTCTAAGTATACAGAGGAACAAAACAGTGATGGGTTTTCACTAGTAATAAAAAGATTTGAAAAAGATGATATCAATCACCAGTACACTTGCCTTTACGATTTTTTCTCATATAGTGCAGTGCTGAAAATAAACAAAAACAATTACAAGTGTATGTATATAAACCAGTATTTTCACTGTTTGTATTTTTTATCATAACGAATATATTATTATGTAATAGTGTATTTTTGCAATGTGTCCATAAATTATTCTTTATAGGTAAACCTTCAGCATACATGAATTACGAAACAAACCTTGTAAGTTGCACTAGAACACCAAATAAAATAATTAACATCTGTCTACTTTGCCGGAGAGAGATAATAAGAGTTGGTTACCAATTAAATATCATATTTCCCGAGATCATTGCTCTACAAAAATATGAAATGTCTATATCTCTATCAACGAAGAGAAATGGATGCTATATTACACTGCTTATACATTTTGTACACTATTTTACAGCATAGGACATTTTTTTCATAGGTAAATTGTGTCCGGGACAAATTAGAATAAGTAAATATTGTCCATGGACAGTATTGACTATGCAAAATTGTCAGGCGGACATAATTTCATGGGGGACATTATTATATCCTACAATATTATGCTCAGTCGGGAATATGAGGTTTTGTTCAATATCAAATAGGATACTCTCCACCTTTCAAATATCAATTTAGCGACAATATTTACATGGTGCGACGTTAAGCAATCATTGAACAAAAAATCAGTCAATATTTTACGGCTGTGGAATAATATGATATTTTACTCAAACAGTTCAGACAAAATATAGCACGAAATGATACCAGTATCAAAACAGGCTGGATGGTACATCAGAGACTGATAGAACACCAGCAACAATACCGAACCATAAATATTTCATGTTGTAACTGCATTATAAACATTTTCTGGAATAACTGAATACCTCAAATTTAAAAAGCTAAAACAGAAAACAGTTGTGTCGTGTTGATATATACGAATGATTCAGGATTCCGTTTAATTTCATTCTTTGTGTAAAATTTATCAGAAGTCTATTCTGTGAACGTAAATTTATGGATTTAGATTTTCTAATCAATTGGTAACTTCCATCTTTTAATCAGTTAATATTTCCAAAAGACATAGATTTATTTTATTTGAATTTCAGATATGCCTAAAGAAAACGAAACGCTATCAAATATAACGATGTTGGATAACTTAATTTTTGCAGAAATCATGTTTGACATTGTATATCCATCTCCAGAATGTGTTCTTGTTGTAAATGTATGTATAGAATTTTAATTAAATATCCAGCAAAAAATATATTTTTAAACCCTCATTTTCGGAGCAAAAGGTATTCATTTGGAAAGTAACTAAACGAATCATTAATTGTCTTTGAACACACTATCAACTTTCTCTTCGCTCTGACATCCATGTTGCGTCATCCGTTTGCCGCTAGGCTTTTAAAATGAACTGAAATTACAAAATATGAAAGTAGCAATGATTGAGTCCTTGTATATAATTTTAACCTTTACCTTATATTCTAAGCCGAAGAAAAGATTAAAATCACTACTACATAAATAACTTCACTTACAAAGAATTACAAAATTTCATAAAATAGATGATATTTTCAAACACCTAAATCTTTATTAGGATAAATGGCTATTCTTATGAATTAAAATAGTCTGTTGTTTTTATTGGCATTATTATTGAATTTGTTATCAGAAAATTATAATCAAACTTAGTATTATTTTTATATACATATGCACATTCATGGTTTCTACAGTCTGTCGATTCATGTATCTTGGCATTGCACAAGGTCATGTTTTTCTTTGACTATTAATGACGTCTTTACACTAAATCCATCGGATGTGGATGTGTAATTATTGATATTTTAGTCTTAGATGCATGATTTTTTTTATAAGTTGTTATTGACTTTGAACTAGCTGACAGTGACTGCGAGTACTCTCATATCTGTACCTAGTGGTTTTTGTTGTTGTGGGGGTGTATAAGTACCCATCCACGTCCACTCTGTGTTTAGTTGGATGTACTTCTGCTTTGTATCGATCTTAAACATAACTGACCAAACTCAAACTATCTGTTTTTTTTTTTAAATTCTATTCATCTAATTTGCATTATCATTAAGTGATGAAATACAAACAACAGTATCAACCGAATAATTATCGACATAATTGAAAACTGTTTGGTTGAACAAGATGAGTAGCAGAAGCGAACAACTGTTCAATATCATATACCAACTATCTTATCGACATTTCAGAAACAAAAGCGACATCTCAGAAATAAAAGCGTTGAAATCAAAAGGGTTTTCTATGGAAAACATGTTTTTGAAATGATTTTTTTTTTATATTTTACTGCTAGGGAGACAAAATGGCAACAAATGTGACGGTATCAGACGAAATATTAACAAGGCTATTTTACAAACTGAAGCTCCGGCTTGTGTGTGAGATACTCAAAAGTGAATGCATCGATAGTATTGCGATTAGTTGTACAGTAGGAGGAGACCAGTTTGTCGATCATAAAAATATGTCTTATTGTCCGGGTAAATTAATATTTTAAGAAGTATTATTTTTTAAAGTGAATGTGATCACTATAATGAATGCATTGCTTGCTTAATGCGACGTGCACATTTGATATTTTAGATCATGAGTATTGATGAATTCTCATACATACATATGATCTAGTATGTTTGAAGATTTTTTGTCTTGTCCTTAAAAGTTTAAGTTATGATATAAGTTAATCGCCGCTAGTTTGTTATGCTTGATTTTATCTGAGTTCTAAGTTTCATTTATATTAATGAAATTTAAAAAAAATGAATTTCAATATTTTTTTTGTATAGATATAACAACCTCCTTTAATTCCACTGAAGAATCGGATTCATTATGGAAGACAGTTTTGCAAATCACTTTTATTTGCTTCGCCACTTTCTGCATAGTTGTGGTTACATGTGTGGTCAGATGGAGAAAGAGAAGAAAAAGAAAACAAAATTATATATCTTTGGAAGGTAATGTAAATATGCGTATTGTTAAACAGTTGTAATCTAAAAGCTAAGTGTTCCAAATCAATAGTTAATATAACATTGGTAATAAGACATATGAAAAAAAATATAATTAATTATTTGTAAAAAAAAACTTTTGGATGTGCTATATAAATACGTGCTGTTGATTGTTTAAATTTGGTTGACAGTTATGACTTTTCGACTCGCCACTGTACTCTTCTAAATAATCTTTCCAAACAGAAAGTTTCGTGTTCAATAAGAGCTCTTTTGACAACTCTGATTGGTGCATTACATTTGCGCGCATTACCATTACATTTGGGCGCAAAAATCTTTACGCTTCCGCACAGCTTTTGATTACATTTGCGCGCATTCTTTTACAGTTAACTCGGTTAGGTAGATTATATTCATTTATTTATCTAACTATTGTTTTCAAGCAGGATAAGTCCTGTGGATATATACAGATAAAAATGTAAAAGCATAGTAAATCCAAAGATTAAAAGTACTGCTTTTACATATCGTAACGTGCACAAAATACATGGATGTGCTGAATGAAATGGTTCATTGTAGTGAGATTGGAATGATTCCGGGCCTTTTGAAGTACGCATGGTCTCTGCTTACGGTATAGTGATGCCCACAGACTTGGAGGAAATAGAGTCTGTTGAAAAACCTTTGTAATTATGTACGATGCATCGCCGTAAAATATTCCCTGATTTAAGTATTCTGTCGATACGGAAACTAAATCCATCTTACACTATTGATTTTTTTCCACCCGGATTTGTTTCTGACACTCTTTGTGTTTGCCTTGACGCATTTTTACAAACTGACTTAAATTATTTATCAAAGCGATCACTTTACAGTAATATTATAAAACAGAATACTATTTACTCTGAAATATTCGAAATTAAATTACATATATATGTCTTAAGCTATTACGGGATTTCTCATGATCACTATATATGTTATTAGAATTCAAAATGAAAAATATATAATTTGAATTTACAAAAATATTCAAAATTAATTTTAACTATAGTTATATTTATTATGAATTATCTTTATTTTACCTGTGTTACCTGTATAATAAATGCACGCAAATGTAATCAAAAGCTGCGCGCAAACGTTAAAAAATGTAATCCCCAAATGCGCGCAAATGTAACGAGCCCCACTCTGATTAGAAATTTAATTGCTGTAATCCATAAAAATAGTCTGTTGTAATGAAAGGGTGAACTATGACGATATGATAAAAGGTGTAAATTATATCCTTAACGACATATATATGTGTGTTTCGGATATAAGGTAAATCGACAGTTAGTTGGCATTTCTAGGGCACCAATTGCACCCTTTATAACAGATTTTTTCTGTATTGTTTTGAATTACCTGTTATGGCCAAATTGAGGAGACTATCAAATCTCGTAAATCGATTAGCAAGAGACAAAAAAAGGTGAACAACAGAGGGAATCGCATAACTGTAAAACAAGCGAGACCGCGTGCGTCGACAGAGTAAGTGTCCTCTTCTATGCATGCACTACCCGCCACGCAAATTCGTAGTCAGTTGAAATATTTCCCTCGGGAAAGGGACAAACACACTAAACAGCTGTCAAAATTCCGTAGGATTAATTAATCTAAAAACACTTACCGTTACCTTGACTGAAAACTCTTTTCAAATACTTACCTCAAAAGAGTCGATTTTTCGTTCCCAGTTGTTAATTTTGCTTTTTCGACGGATATATTCCGTTGATTCCTTTTTGCGGTGTGTACATTACTCAACTTGTTCGCTTCTTCGTGTATGAAGTAGCATTTTATATTTCAATGAAGGACACAATCAATATTTAACTGGTAAATTATCAGATAGGTTGTTCGTACTGACAAATTTCTTAAATCTTATCAATCAAACACGGTTATTAAATCTTTGAATATTGTCTTTATCAGTTCCAGCATAGCTTTTTTATTGATAAAAAGAAAATAAAACTGAATAAGTATTGATATATAGTTTAATTTTTGCATAGCACAATACGTCATGCTCAATATGAAATAAGGAGACGTGGTATGATTTCCTATGAAACAACTATTCACCTGAGACCAAATGACGTAGATTTTAGCAGCAATAGTACACAGTGTGGTCCTGATTTATGCTTTAAACAATAGGAAGTACAAACGCATTCAGAATGTAGCGAGGTTAAACATGTTTGCGAGCAGTTAAACCTCCACTTAATTTAAAAGATCGAAACAGCACAACTGCAGGACATACTGTAAACATTAGTTTCAAAGGGCTTGACCAAAAAATGTGCGCTAAACCAACTAACAAGAAGACAAAATGTACCAATCTAAGAGAACCCAGAATTAATGAAAGCTAGGTCAAAACTTGCAACAGCTACAAAGATAAATCTTTTTTTTTCCAGAACAAAATATCAATCAGTACACATCCAACGAATTAAGCGTAAACACGTCAAAAACAATATTTGAGGTTATTGGTGAATAAGAGAGCTTTTTCGCTCTCCTGTTCCTGTAGCATTACTCGAAAAACCAAAATCCTCATTTATCTGGTTACTTGAACCAAACCAAAGTGTAGTATGATGAGTTTATATACAATATGTAAGACAAGTGAATGGGAATTTTTAAAACAATCACATGAGCATCTATACAACTCCCCGAAACCTAAGACATTTATAAGTTGATTTTTAAACATTTAGGAAAACAAAAGCACAAAATTAAATTTATAAAACTCCAACCACTCGAAACTGTCGAGAAACAGCACTCACTGTCATTACCAATTTGATGATTCCGTTGATAAAATTGCGAAATGTCTTTTGTTGAACGATTGTAGACAACATATCCACTCAGTCTTAATGATAATATCATGAGAAAAGGGAACATGTTTAAATCTTCTTCTATTTACATCATGCACATTGTTGACAAAAGTCGATATAAATCATCATGTCCGGCTGTTCATCCGTAACACTTTTTGTTTCGAGATGATAAATAGAGTCGCTTTTTGAAATTAACTGAATTTTTGATGGAATATTTGGATTACTCAAAACAGGCTAAAGAAAATTAACTGCATGATTTATGACAAAACAGTACACGAAAAACAAAAATGACAGACAGCAACGAAAACCACTGAATTTTCTGTTATAAAACTTTGGCAATCATTTTAGATTAAGAACTTTTTCTTCCTCATGTATGCTAGTTCGGATATCTTGTCTAGATTTGTATGTTTTTTTTACATTCTTGTTTATGTTTAGTTTTATTCTTTTTTTTTTCAATGTCTTATAATACTTTGTTGAAAAGAAAAAAACAAAACAATACATTTCTACGGATGCATTTCATCTAATTCTATCAAGGTGGCGTTGTACACTCTACGAATAATGTGAATAGTCGTTCACGTAGGTTGAGATCACAATGTAATATGACTGAAGAATTTGAATTGAGTCCACTTATTCAAGAACTTATTCAAGAACAAGTACATTCAGGTAAGAAAGAAAAGCTACCACATATACAAATAAAACAAAAAACAAAAAACATTGTTTCATTATAAATATACTTTTTTAAATGCATTAGCAAAACATATATATAAAAAATGTACTATGTACAAAGGGTAAGTGGCTGTTATCATTACATTGAATTATAATCATGTCATTTAAGGATTAAAAATCTCGCGCATTTGATTGTGACAACCAACTGAATATATTTAGGCATGATAAAACCCTTACAGTTTCTTTTTATTTCTGATAAATGAAAAAAAAAATACAGTACAGTCCTAATGAATCTCATAATTCAAAACAGTGTCCCAGTGAACACTTCAGATAGTCAGTCAGAAACTTAGAAAATTTCAACCGCATGATATTTCTAGTAATGATAAATATTTGCAATATTTGTAGCTATTTTGGAGAAAGGAAACCCTAAACACGCTTTTTATATTATTGTGCTTTAAAGAAAAAGAGAAAAAGATTGACATTGACGATGGCCACTCAATGTGCCAAGATTTTTGTCAATATTTTCAATACGATATTATTCCATTCGTATTCGTATATAATCAAGCGAATTTATCAAAGTCGATCGTAAAACTTTGATGCGATAAAGTAGGCCTAATTAGATTCCTTAATAAACAGTTTAGATGACATTAGTTGTCATTGGTAATTTAAGTCTCTGAAAAGATCAAATTTGTTCTTATGTTCCCAGTTTTAAAACAAACTTTCCGAAAAAATGATATCTATAATTTCATTGTGCATATCCTATTCAATTTTCTTATTTAAATGACTTTTTTTTTCCTATATTCTAATAAACTTCCATGTCTCCAGTGGTTAGTAGTTTCCATATTGGATTCACGACAGCTATGCAACCATGTGCCATATTTCTGTTGAGCATATTTCTTTGATAAATCGTATAATTTTCATTTCAGGTACAAACACCGAGGAGACAAATAAAAGCTTACAAGAACAGGAGATTAGAAATGGTATCACATTTTTACTTTTTCGTATTCTGAATGATAAATTGCTGTAATCAAAATATAAATATTGATATCGAAATTAATGAAACTTGGCAGTTTAAACACTTGAAAGCATGAATTCTTTCGCATGTCGTTCCATCCATTCAAAACAAAAGGAAATTATTTCTACATTTTACATTTCAGTAACAAAATTATATCAAATTTTATTCCGTCAGTTTGGACTGGTAATATACTTGTTATACCTTTTGTTCCCGGGGTGTGGATTTCAGTCCATTTTGGAAGATTTGTTTGGTATTTCTCCCAGTATACTTTATTTTTTTATGAATTTTTTACAATGACTTTGTTATATTGTTCCAATTATAAGACCTTACCAATTTCCTAGACGAGGTTATTATTATATTTGTCATTTTTTTACTGTACGGGTTAATACGTTTTGTAACTAACCTGCCATTAGCACTTTATTCTGTTAATCGAGTCATTTTAGATCTTAGCTATATCAATAATAAGGGCCTAGTGTTTGTTTTATTTAAAGTAGATTTTCCAATTGGCATCTTTTTATTACACAATAGAATAAAATGAATGAAGTTAAACATATGATTCCGATATTCTCGAACATAAAATGTTCCAATTGACATATATTGGATACCATCAGCCGTAATTCTAAATAATAATTACTTATGTGGAGTTTCGGATATACCTTAGACTATGAATTTCCGATATTTTACCGTATAGTCTTTCTAACTTTACTTCACATACAATCTATGATATGTAGAACGTCTTTTTTTATCGACGTATTGGTGTTGTGAAAGTTGACGTAAATTAGCAGGTTTTAATTGGAAAAGAGAAAAGAGGAAATGGTCCGGCTTTTTAAATGAAAATATTTTTAGTGTAACCGATTAAAAGGATGTTGATAATCAGATTTTGGTACAATTGAGTATTCTTTTAATATCGAAAATTAAACAATACAAAGACTTATCATATTCCGAGTTTAGACTTTCAACGCATTCATCAAAGTGAGCAGTCAACTTAATCATATCATTTGATGAATGTTGAAGCGCCATTCTTTGTACCAAGTACATGTATTGAACATCAAAAGCAGAGTTATTTGCGTCATCAATAATGTTAAATAATCAAACACATCGCTTACAAATTGTACATTTTGATGCCAGACTGAAAACGTACGTTTCAGTCAAGAATCTTTGCAAGTACTAAATAACATCAAATATACCATTTAAGCAATTTGTCGCAAATAAAGTAGTTGAAATTTTTTTTAACAAGATCCTATACATAGAGATATTATCCAAGAATATAATTCAACAGATACGTTGACCAGCGGAATAACGGCGACATGATATACATGCTATGGAGACATGCATGCATGGCAAATTTGAATATCTAGTTACCACAAAGATTTATTATGAAAATAATACGGACTTCATCTTCTTTCACAGATAACACCTGCCTCATATTATGCATGATTGATATTCATCATAAAAGAAAAATAAGAAACGACCACATCTGCATTACATTTCAGAAAAATTTAAAGTTGCAAATGGAAGATAGACCTATTGTGTCATGCGTAAAAAATGTACTAGTCCGCATTATGATTTATTCTTTTATGCAAAAAAAACCCACTTCCTTGGAATGCGAAGTTAACAAAAAAGACATTGTATATAAAGAGCTGTATGGTGATTCATAAATTAAATATCTATGGATTAGTTCAAAATAATTTGATGTAAAGAATGGGTACAAAATGCAACGATTCCTTACTTCTCAAAATTCTTAATTTCGTTTAGTTATATATAATTTGTTGAAAGCAGCAAAATGGATAAGACACCGCACATAAGACAACACTTTTTGATACCATGCATCGTCATTATGTGCAAAGGATTTCAGTCAAATGTACCACGCGTCGTAAAGTAATTGAGATTCCGTATAAGGCTATTGATTTGTTGAATACCCAAAGCAAAACTACAAGTTGCATACGCCGTTTACTTTGACTGGTATCAAGTTTACTTACTTTGCCAGTAAAATACAGGTCAAGCGTAATTTTTACCCTTTGACACGTACTCTTCAAGAGTTATGACCTCAATTATTTTTAAAATTTGGATTGTTTTGTTTCTGAAAGATAATTAGAGAACCACTTGAACCTCATCGCCTTAGTTTTATATTGTAATCAAATTAAGGGTGTCATATAGAAAGCGAGATTGTAATACCATTGTACATACCTGGTCTGACTCATTGTGAAGTACATGTAATTCATAACTGTAAAACTAACAGAAAAAAAGGAACTTTTCACTTTTATTATCTCCGTTTATTAAAGTCGTCCAAACCGAAGGAGACCTCCGGGTGCGGGAATTTCTCGCTGCATTGAAGACCTGTTGGTGACCTTCTGCTGTTGTCTGTTCTATGGTCGGGTTGTTGCCTCTTTGACACATTCCCCATTTCCATTCTCAATTTTATTTGGTTTAGTTTTATTGTCATATCTATAGTTTATACTATTATTCTTAATTCTAACCTTTATGATCATGTTATAACAGTACAGAATGCATAGAATATGTATATGCGTTCTGAGTATAAAACTTCATAAGGGTATTCTTTTATGGTTAACCCAAAAACATTATGTGATCAAAACTTGAATATTTACGTGTTATTATTTGAACTGTACTGTTCTAGATATCGTTTTTTAAACCCAAGAATTTAGCTGTGTTGTCTTAAAGTACTATTATTCTGGCCAAGCAATACTTGTGGTCTCTGTACATATCTAAGTTGTAACAATTTTAGGCACAACATGCGCAGACCGATTTAGAGCATACACAAAGCAGATGCTGATGGAACTTCTAAAAAAATTAAATTTGGTAATTGAGGAATTCACAAGTCACCTGGAAAAGAGTTTGTTTGCTGCCTGGTACATGTATGTCAAGACTTGTGAAAATACAAATTCAGTCATATATTCTGCTAGTTTGAAAGGCAAGTTTTTATTTATTATATTATTTTTAACACCATTTCCATATATATTTTTGCACGTGTTGTAATCCACATAAACCCAAATATTTGTTATAGACAGTGCAGTACAAGTCAATTATACATACACTTCGGAATAAATCAATGTAAATAACAGAAAAGTAACTGACTCTAATGTTTACTTTTGAGCATTTCATCCGTGTTGCTCAGTCTTTAGTTTTCTATGTTGTGTTTTGTGTACTATTGTTTGTCTGTTGGTCATTTTCTTTTTTAACCATGGCGTTTTCAGTTTATTTTCGACTGATGAGGTTGAATGGGATCTTTCGCCTCTCTTTTTCTTAAGAAGTTTCTTTTCCATGTCGTATGACGTTTTATATCTATAAATTTTCAATCAATATTTTTGCTTGAATTTCATAGAAAAAAAACAAATATTATTATTTTCGATAAAATTTAAATGTTAATCATATAAATTATCATTTAATGGAATAGTTTTACAGAATGATATGATTTTATCTTTGTTTGTATTTCAAACGATTGTAAGTTATCAATTTACGTACAGCCATTTCTAAGTACAATTTCACTTGATTCTTAGAGCTAAAATGTATATAATGAGATATAGCATCTTCCATAGTTAGTAAGTGAATCATACATATAAGGATAAAATAGAAAATGTGTTGAAATTGTATATGTCTTACACATTTTATATTAATTCGTGAAAATTATGTCATATTGCGGTTAAAATATAACGGGAAAAAAAGTTTCGAAGTTTTGTTTTTGCTTTATGTCATTACATTTTCGTTTTTTTTTTCTGGCAAATCCTTTTGGATTGCTTGAATTTTAATCTTATCCATCAATTGTATACTATATCATTTTGAGGTGTTTATAGTAGAAACTTAAATTCATAGCAAAGTTAAATTGGTACATTTGTTTTACTTAAATTCTGTTTTAAACAAATAGCTTCTTATGTAACAGAATATTATATATGATTTTTGTCAAAATATGTTGCAACTAATATAAATACTTATAATTTAGATACCTTTATACCAATATCTAATAGTGAAAGTTCAATGATAAGTTAATATTGATATTGAAAGACCTCCGAACAAACAGGGATATTAAGATATTTGGCTATAATAACTAAGAAAGTTGCGTTGGCAAAACCCCAAAGCACATTGCTCTGCAAAATCAAAATTCAAGCTCGCTCGTTCAAACGCGAACTTCTTTATTTATATGTTAATTCACCATATAGAAAATGATTAAAGTTTAAAGAAAAATTTCTTTTGATATTATTCTTGAAATGCGTAAATAACCTTACAAACAGTTAAAATAATATAAACTAAAAATCTTCACAAAAAGTAACCGGAGTTGATTTTCAAAAAAATAAACGTAACTGAAGAACACACACCTATATTGCATATCGATGGAAAGAGGAAAATGTGTACAATAAGAAACGTTTGTCGTAAAAAGCCAGAGTGGTCATATGTTTGTGAAATTGAGGGTAAAGGTCAAACCTCAAATATATCATAAATTCAAACATGAGGAAAAAAAGAAGGAATTTTCTGAGATATATTCAGTAGAATACTACAAAATCGGTTAAATCACAAGCATATGCTGCCAAGGATGAAAAACATACAATTTTAGCTATTTGTATGAACTGCCACCATTACAAAATGGCGTTGATGATGATGATTCTCATTTTTATTAATTTATGACAAAGAAAATATAGATGTGGCCTTGACCTTTTCACATCCATTAACTTGCCATTTTTCACCACAGACTATGTGATAATTTTTTTATAAACTGTAAAACATCATTTTCTTAATACATTTCAGTTATTTTTCTTCCTTTAAAACAACAAAAATCACTGAAAACCGGGTTTTTTCCATTTTGCATACATGTACAAAAGGATGTGTACTTTTAAAATTAGAACGTAGTAATATATTAACAAATATCGTGTACTTGCAAAGTCGACAGTTATAACCCAGAGTCAACCGAGACCAATGCGAGGTTAAACAAAATCATAGGTGTAACTTGCTTTGGTTTATCTGTTGGGTTAGTTGCCATTAACATTGTCTTTGTGGGATTATCTTGGTAAAAATGTGTAGTCTCATTTTTTAGTGATTGATTGTAATGTTAATCAATGTTGTAATTAGACAATAGGCTAATAATCAATGTTGTAATTTGACAATCGGCTAAGACCCTTATATAACTTGTATTTGGAAGCTACCACAATAACTCTGGTCTTCATCAAATAGGATGAAAAAGTAAGAAAATAATGCTTCAAACTGGGAAATTATTTACATGTTGAAGAATCTAAGCTACACGTCAATCTCTTCGTCATTGTTTGCGAATCCGGTAAACGTATTAGCACCCTTCAGCTCCTTTCACGGACAAAGTTCGGTGCAAGACAGATTGACAGGTACAAAGTATATCTTGCAAGTAATCTAAAGACATTTGCTATTTGCCAAAGATGGGATTTGATCCATGTTGGTCTTCCCAGTTGAACAAAAGTTGATTCATATGGGGGTAGTTGTACCAGGCTAGCATCTTGCTGTTTAGCTTCCCTTATGCTAAGTTTATTCAGATCACCGTGATAAAATTTTGCTTACCGTTTCTGGTCATAGAGCCTTGCAACAAATGTTCTTCTGACAGCAACAGACTCTTCAAAGTCACCGCTTGAAAGATGGTCTAAATCATAAAGTCTTCAAGATTGTGCTTTAAAACCTTGTAAACAGTTTTCTTCTGTAATCCAAACATTGGCAATGTGGTGTCACAACCTATCAAATCAATGAACACATGGACTAATAAAATATGGAAAACATTGTAAAAAACACGTGTTGGTGGATGGTGATACCAACAGTGCTTACAATTATTACCATCAAATTTTAAATGTTTTTCAAAACGGTCAAAATGATATAAACATAACATGTCTGAATGTCGCCTTTTTTATAAACTATATGGCGTGTCAAACGTTGTAATATTCACATAAAAAAAATATATGTTCATAAAGTTAAATAATTGTTCGTAAAAACGAATATATGTTCATAAAGTTAAATAATTGTTCGTAAAAACGAATATATGTTCATAAAAACAAAATATATTAAAAAAATCAAAATGTGTTCATAAAATAAAACATATATGCATAAAACATTAATAATTGTTCATAAAACAAATATTTGTTCTTAAGGATGTGCACCTCTGAGGAGCCTAAAATTTCTAGAATTAAACTGTTTTTCTTAACCTGAATTTTGGGTTTATATGACTGTAAGAAAGTAACTGATGAAGAAAAATCATATGGTGGTGCATTTCTTTTTTTGCTATGCTTATTTGAAAGTACCCATTTTTATTATTTTCCCATTTTTCATCAATTTTTACCCATTTTTGTGCTATTATCATGAAAAAAAATCACAATTTCACAACTTGTTTCATACTTTTACTAAAGATGAAGTGGACCAATCTGATTAAATTTAACAAATAAAAACTAAAGGTTGGTGTTAATATTAGAAAGTTTTATAAACTTTTGTTGCTTTTTTCGTATCAAATTGACGATGCCGTCATTTTTTTAAATTTGGGATTTTTCTCTTTTTTTTAGAACAAAAAGCATATTATTTCAACTTCTTTGTTATAAATGATTGAAACAATACATATCTATGAATTTTGAAAAGAAAAAAATTGATATGGGATGTACATATCTTTGGTAAAATCATTTCTTTGTACCCTCACCTATTTTCTCAGCATTTTGTCTGCTGACACTTACCAGATTGGTTATAAAATTTGAAAATTTTATTACTCAAAAACTACTTATTGTAAGTACACAATTTTTTCACAGAGTTTAGTTTGATTATGATATTTTTTATATTCATTGATATTTTCCACTTGTATCACATGTTTTGGAAATAGTTCCAAAACGAGATTTCAACGAGACTGGAACCTCAGAAGAATACATCCTTTAAAAATGTATATCTGTTTATGATAAACGAGTAATTGTTCATAAGGAAAAATAATTGTTCATAAAAGTAAAATATTGGTTTATATAAGTAAAATAATTGTTCAAATAGTAAAATAATTGTTCATAATAGTAAAATAATTGTTCATAATAGTAAAATAATTGTTCATAATAGTAAAATAATTGTTCATAAAAGGTGCATTATATATTCATTAACACAAAATTTTCTTTCAAAAAAATAAAAATATGTGTTCATAAAATAAAAATATGTGTTCATAAAATAAAAATATGTGTTCATAAAATAAAAATATGTGTTCATAAAATAAAATATATGTTCTTAAAAATTTATAAATACGTCCAATAATTTGCATCATGTGATTCCTCGTTGCTTTTGTAACAGTGTATTTGATTGGGTATGCTCTGAAACCGGCCCGGACGGGACTCCGGACTCGGACCAGATGCTGGACCAGGACTGAGAAATTTATGAGGAAAAATTTACTAGAATTAGGTTCTCCTTTTTGTGTACCCTACTGAAATCTTTAATTTTATTTATGGTAAATTGAAGATAGTCAAGATTGTATTCTTTCTTTCTTTCTTTCTTTCTACAGGTATGAATCGCCGTTCAATATCGACACAGTCCTACATAGTAGGATGGCTAATGCGCTTTGTACAAATATACACCCGCACCCACTAAAAACCCATATCAACACAAAAAAAACCGTGCCACTAATCCACGAACTCATGCATATGTGTATAACAGTAATGGTAAAAGCGTGCTGTACAAAAACTGTGTATACATTTTTCATTATTTACAGTGCGATTGGTTGAAGACGGATGATAAATTATGCGTGTAATGATCATCATTGTTCAATGCCTAAAATACTTGTTTTTATTATATGCTAGCTGTGTGGATAAAAAATATATACATTAGCTTTATATCAGTCTATAGGTTAGCACTAAAAGTTAATGTTTTATACTTTAAATATACTGTTTGTACTGGATAGATACGTTCATCTGCTATTTATGTTGAATACGTTTAACATTTATGGCACATTAAAGCACTATGATGCAAATACGCAGGAACAGAAAAAAATTTAAAGTACACTTTAGTAATATGTCCAAATAAATAATACTAGTAGGTAAAAAGCCCCTTAAAATCTAGATAGAGACATGTTCTATATATTTATATATTAATCTCTTCTCAAGTGGATTGTCGTTATTTTAGAAAAAAATAAAATGCCTCTAGATATGCCTCCACTACGCCCTCATCCCTACACTGCCATCTGTCTCATTCTACTGGTATGGATACTGTAGCTGAACAGCCGTGTGAGGTGTTCTAGCTCTATCTTGTGTTGTTTTTTTTTATTTGGAATCCATAGTTAATGCTTTTGTGAGTACAGTCCATAATTTGTATAAGCATGTCACAGTCAACCAAGTTCTGATAGAGCCCATTCTTTTAGTTTTCCAGGTATGATTTTATATTTTGGAGGTGCCTTTCACGTGTATGCTTATGTCTACTCCATGAAAGTATGAAGTGTTCTAGATCTTCATTTGCTGTATTACAAAATGTACATATTGGGGATATACTTTTATTGTGTCTAGACCTAATTGTCTATAGCATATATGTCTGTGTTACTAGTCTGCTCTTTATTTCTCCTGTTTTTTATATCATTTGGGTTGTTTCCTGTACACAGATATTATGCGGCATAACGGATGGGTTTTACTGTATTTGAAGGTATTTCAGTGTCTTTTTATTGGAGTGGTCTTCTAAGCATACTGCATTCCAGTATTATATTTATACATGTTATAAAAATTACAGTTACATTTGTCGATGTGTATTTATTTCGTGTACTCTTAAGGATGGCCTCACATAAAATTCTTTGCGTAAAAAATATTAGATTAATTCTTTAAACTGAAAGAAATGGTTTAATCAAGTTATCATTTTTATTTATGGAAACTCGGTGTAGTCTTTGGAGAATTCTCCTAACGTTTTTGTATGTGTTTTCAAAATTTATCTTGCAAATATGTATACAATCTTCAATTTACCAGAAAAAGTATTAAATACAAATATATACTAGTATATATATATTATCAAAAAAATAAATAAAAAATATTGACACTGACGAAAGCTATCTATTCAGCCGAAATATTTGTCAACTCGATTTTATAACATAATCTTCGAATATTACCATCTTATATCAGTACCGTTGCGCAAATCTTTAGACTTTATAATGTTTTCCTTATCTGTGCAGTATCGTCTATTCTAGACGATCCGGTACATATTAAATTTGCTGGTCATTTTTATGGACCTCTATATATATTATCATACATCCCATTCCTGTGCTCTAAAAATTAACTTCCTTCCCTCAGTAGGGTACATAAAAGGAGAACCTAATACTAGTAACTTTAGCCACTTTCCCCCATAATTTTCGCAGTTCTGGTCCGGCCTCTAGTCCATGTCCGGGTTTCATACCAAAGTCCGGGTCCGGAGTCCCAACCGGTCCGGTTTCAGAGCATACCCAATCAACAACACTGTTACAAAAGCAACGAGGTATCCCATTATGCAAATTATTGAACGTATTTATAAATTTTTAAGAACATATATTCTATTTTATGAACACATATTTTTATTTTTTTTAATGAAAATTTTGTATTTATGAATATATATTGCACTTTTTATGAATATATATATTTAACTTTTATGAACAATTATTTATGTTTTATGCATATATATTTTATTTTATCAACACATATTTTGATATTTTGAATATATATTTTGTTTTTATAAACATATAGTCGTTTTTACGAACAATTATTTAACTTTATGAACATATATTTTATTTTTTATGAATATTGCAACGTTTGACACGCCATAAAACTAGCACATATTGCAATTCAAATTTAATACGTGACGAACGTCCTTACTCCTATTTTCTGTCAGAAATCGGATTATATTTACCAATTGTTTAATAAGAAATTCAGAGATGAAAAGCAATGCTAGTTCATAACAACTTAATAGTAACGAATACCCACCACTTCAAACATAAATCTAACACGATGCTAATTATGCCTCAATGTTACGGTTTTGTTAAAAAGGTTACGTTTAAAAATTGGCTTATGTGTTAGGTATTCTGCACGACATAATTTCTATCATGCTTTTAGAAATTGTTCTCTCGGAATGGGCTCAGTTTTTCCTTTTTTTTTTTTTTTTAAATCTGGTATTTTAAAACATGAACAAACTCGCAGAAAAACTCACAATAGCCAAAAAAGTATATGATTTCTTATATTATAATAGTAATATCAATGAGTATATCATAAAATAAGAGAGTAATATATATATGATAAAAATATTTATATCGTAAAATTAATTATGTATGCAAATCATCAAAGACATTGATATTCACTTTAGACACAAAACGTATCAACAGATATACTACACCACCAGCACAAAATATGAAAGATGTAACACGAATACTACATCATGCTATTTTACACGATCCTGTATATATTCAAAGACTAGCCACGGATACTGCAATAAATCTTGCTAGACATCTATCGGTATTTGATGGATTTAATTTCTATACTTGTTCGTCTGAGTTGGTGACAAAACATGGTAGGTATTAGAATATTTTAGCAATGCGACACACTTTGGTTAAATATTTTTTTATAGACCTCCTCTTGACTTAACAATGTTTCCACTGAATTAAGCATAACTTTTGCATTTTGGGTGATATTTTTCAGAAGTTTAATTTGCTAGACATAAATCAGACTTTTATTCAAATATATCAATGTATAAAGAAAAATACTGAGCCTCTTAGCCGATTTTGATAATCACTTATTCAACTTTCTATCGTTAATATGTTGCAATTATATTCTCTTGAAATAATTGAATTTATTTGAAATTGCTGTTAGACGAAAATATTTCCTAGTAGTTGGTTGAGTTTATCATTTTTAAACTTTTTATTTTACTTAACTGTTTTCTATGTTTTAGATGAACAAAATTTATTATATTAAACTGATATAGTCAAATCTGTAAAGATTGTTGCATTGGATATCCAATGTCATTTGTTAATAATTACTTAACACGGTTTAAAATAAATGACAGAGTAATGTTAAACCTATGCTTTGAGTTGATTATGATCTTATTTATGCGTTCAATGTTCTTGAATTTCCATGTTTATTAATGAATTATCTCGTAGGTGTCTATATATCATGTTCAACACTATAATGAGCTTTTTATTAACGATATCAAGCATACATTCAAGAAAACAAACAAACACTAATGATTATTGGTGTACAATTACGTACTTATTAAATTAGACGGACGAAAATCAAATAAATCCCTTAACATACACATTTTCAAGATATGAAAAGGTATATAAATCAACTACGTAGATCTTATAACCACAAACACTTCTAACTTGTCTATGTATTAAATTGTCTTGCGTTATGTCCGTCAGGAAACACGTTTGATTCGCAAAGAAATCAGTATCAAACATGGTTTTTTTTAATGAATACACCAAAAGACAAATTTGATAAAGCTTTTGTTGCTGACAAAAACCTGTTGATTGGAACAGGAGTTCGACTTTGGTAAAGTCACTTGAAATGTTATTATCAAAATGTATCAAAACAATAGGAGTTATATTCATAAGGTCTTTCTTTTTCGATAATTGCATACTTGTTCAAGTATTTCGTACCATAGCGTCGTTTTGAAAGTATTGAGAGAAAATCAAAGGTTTGATTTGATATGCTGAAGTCTGTTGATAAAAACAGTAAAAGAATAACAAGAGGCAATTGTCGACAAATGGTTTAAAATGGTTTCTTTGGAAACTACCTGTACCAAGTCAGGAATATGGCAGTTGTTTTCCACTTGTTCCATTGATTGGTTATTCATGGACTTCCTCTTTTTGAACTTGCTTTGGAGTTAAGTATTTTTGTTGTACATTTTGTCAGTGTAGATACCTTAAGAAATTATTCTAATGATTTGTTTCTCCTCCGCTTCTTTTTTTTTTACATTGTTTTATGTTTTATTTTGTTTTTTTTTATGTTACTCAAGACGTCGATAAGATAAAAGATATATTTAACAGTTTACATGATTTTTTTATTAGTTGTTATTGACTTTGGTTACTAGCTGTCAGTAACTGTGAATACTCTCAGATCTGTACTTAGTGTCTTTCTTGTTGTGGGGATGTATAAATACCCTGCCGCGTCTGGTCTGTGTTTTAGATGTTTTTCGGCTTTGTATCGATCTGATGAGTTCAGCCCTTTTCAACTGATCTTTATAGTTTGTTCTCTTGTTGTACTGTTTCACCACTGTCCTAGGTTAGAGGGAGGGTTTGGCGCCAACAAACTAGTTTAATCTCGCCACATTCCGTATGTGCCTGTCCCAAGTTAGGGGCCTGTAATTCAGTGGTTGTCGTTTGTTGCTGTATATTATATTTGTTTTTCGCTCATTGTTTTGTACATAAATCAGGCCATTTGTTTTCTCGGTTTAATTGTTTCACATTTGTCGTTTCGGGGCCTTTTGTAGCGGACTATGCCGTATGGATTTTGCTCATTGCTGAAGGCCGTATGGTGACCTATAGTTGTAAACTTATGTCATTTAATCTCTAGTGAATTTTCTTATTGCCAATCAAACCACATCTGCTTATTTTTATATTTGTGTTTAAGACTGACATCGCTTTACGTAATACTTGTCTTGTAAGAGTTAGCTTCCCTAACGTTGTTATATTTGTGATCACATCTCCATTACTGAATACTGATTATGTTTACTATTGTACTATTTTTGATGTTTTGAAATTTTGGGTCAATTTTGACCGAATCAACCGAGTTTCCTAATATGAGTTACCTCCCCTAAACTAGATTACATTGGGCTATATTCATATAACTCATAAGCCATAAGCAGTAAATACCTTGGGACTTTTGATTTAAAATAACAGGGTCATAACTTGGAAATAAGTTCATCAATGGTGAAGGTTATGTTCTTAATTATCACTTGTGCTTTCAATTGCGATCGCTTCTTCTCTACAAGTACAAAAGATTTGTTAAAAAATACTTATTTGGTCTCTTGTGGAGAGTTGTCTCATTGGCAATCATACCACATCTTCTTATTTTTACAATATGGAAAATGTTTGGGCTATTGAAATGTAGATATGGCACATTTGGTTCAAAACTATTCTACAATCTCTTACACAAGACGATGACATTGGTCTTTAGTATAATGAATTAGGGCTTACGACAGAGCTCAACCGACAACCTTTCAATGAAAAAGTGTCTTCCAACCATATATTTTTGGAATTAGGTAGCTCTCTAGTGACACTGGAAAGGGCCTTCTGTTAACACTTTTTTCTCAGAAGGTAAATTATAAATTACTCACTTTTGGAATCAATTTAGAATAACCCTTTTTATGACACGTGAAGTAGCTTCGTGTTTAATGGAATTTACAAATTATATCCTTTATTTAAAGTGAAAGTACATAGAAACTATATATTTTTAGAATCGAATCTTTGTGAATGATATTTTTATTATTTGATGCTAGAAGTGACTTTGAGTAGACCGACAATTCAAAGTATATCCTAAATTTCATAGAGAAGATTCCAAAATTAGTACATTTTTTACAGATGTAATAGAGTGACAGAACAATTTTAAACACGTAAAAACGCGTCAATTTGCTTTCTTAGCAATATGATTATAATTAAGTTTTCTGATTTTGTGCGATACGTTTTTTTTTTGTTTATAGCCGTACTGAATATGTGAACGTTTAGTATAAGAGAGATACAATATAATTCTATCATTTAACTACAAAAAAGGATATATTAGATTTTTTATTGCAAATGGAATTACCTTTAACTGCGTTTCGTATCTTACTATATTATTGGAGAGGTTAAATGCATTGAGGTATTGAAGGTACATGTACTGTTCAACTGTTTGAGTTTAGGTAGATACGTATAATTACAATTGCATTATTAGTAATACTAGTGAATTTTTGATATACTATTATACACGTTACTAGATATGTGTGATATATAACCTGTAATTTTTAATATAGGGCAAAGTCATAAAGCATGGGTTACTTGTCCAGCACAGAAAGATGTTATCAAAATAGTACATTATGCTAGACTTTATGACAAAGCGTACATTCAAAGGCTTGTAACCAATACAAGAATAAATTGTGCTCGACTACAAAAGTCTTTTCAAAGAAAAGTACCGAGTTACTCTGAGTCTGATCTTCAAAGGTCAAATTGTAAGTATTCAAAATTACAATGCATTTTTCACATATTAATTTCATAAAGTACTAGATATTGTGTATATCATTCCTTAGCAAATATCCTCTAATTTTAAATAAAGAAACTAAGCAAATACCCCCTCCCACGATTCCTAAATCAACCCTTAGCATGTCCAAAGCACTTTTCTGAATATTTATTTTTTTGTTTAGTTTTTTGTTACAATGTAAACAGGTGAAATAAAATTAAGAAGAAGTAAAAACTGTATGACACTAATTTCAAAGCGCACGACCCATGCTTCTTGAATGAGCTAGGAATCACAAATTTTGAAAGCCGAAAATAATAAATGTTTAAAATCATAAAGGAGCGTAAAGTCTATGTCTGAATCTGTTATACCTAAATTTTAGTACGTACAGTTATAAAATTTTTGAAATGTAAATTTACAAAAGAAATGTTTGGGTTTGACGATTACTGCTGCAGGTAAGTCTAGAAAAGCAATTCAAACGCACGGCATCAATAAAGTGTTACGTTCATCTATTAGTGTAAATATGCCTATTATAATATCGAAGCATAACATACTCCCAATTATTGTCACATTAACATATTATGTCTGCCTGGGTTCTTCATCCAATTTTGTGAATATAACGGAACTATAAACAAATATCATACTAGTCGAAGGTTAAGCTATCTATAAAACCAGGTTTAACCCACCATTTTCTTCGGAAAATGACTGTACCAAGTAAGGAATATAGTCATCAAAGGTACCAGGCTTAAAATTGTATACGCCAGACGCGCGTTTCGTCTACATAAGACTCATCAGTGACGTTTAGATCAAAATAGTTAGAAAGCCAAAACAAGTACAAAGTTAAAGAGCATTGAGGTAATAAAATTCCAAAAAGTTGTGCCAAATACAGCTTAGGTAATCTATGAATGGGATAAGAAAATCCTTAGTATTTCGAATAGTTCATACTTTTGCAAACAGTTAATTTATAAACATGACCATATAGTTGATATTCATGTCAACACCGAAGTGCTGACTACTGGGATGGTGATACCCTTGGGGACGAAACGTCCACCAGCAGTGGCATCGACCCAGTGGTGTAAATAGTCATCAAAGGTACCAGGCTTATAATTGAATACGCCAGACGCGCGTTTCGTCTACATAAGACTCATCAGTGACGCTCAGATCAAGGTAGTTAGAAAGCCAAACCAAGAACAAAGTTGAAGAGCATTGAGGTCCAGAAATTCCAAAAAGTTGTGTCAAATACGGCTAAGGTAATCTATGCCTGGGATAAGAAAATCCTTAGTATTTTGAATAATTCATACTTTTGCAAACAGTAAATTTATAAAAATGACCATATAGTTGATATTCATGTCAACACCGAAGTGCTGACTACTGGGCTGGTGATACCCTCGGTGACGAAACGTCCACCAGCAGTGGTCTGAATATGACAGTTGTTTTCCATTTAATCCGTTGGTTGATAAAATTTTACGTTTGATTTTTTTTCAGTTTTTATGGACTTGCCCCTTTTTGAATTAACCTTAAGTTTGGGTTTGGTATTTTTGTTAATACTTTTCAATTGTGTGGATAGTGTTCTCGGGGAAAATGAATTAGCAGGTGTCACGACCCAGGGATAGTTTAATAAATGTGTCATATCGGTTGTTTAGTATACAAATCATGTGTCAGAAATTATCATTTAGACTTCTTATGACTTCTTTGCAGTAAATCAGTTGTAGCCAAGGTATATTTCAGTCCGAAAAATGTGGTTTATTTAATTGTAAAAAGTTGGTGTTCACTAGGATCAATAACTGAGAGTACTTTTACATGGGATCTTTGTGATATGATGTGTCCATAATGAGAGGCAAAAGATACCAAACGGATCTTAAAATTCAAAAAGTCGAAAACGAACTGTCAATGGGAAAAAAACCGAAAAACGAGCAAAAAACAAACAACGGTATAAAACACATCTCAGAAAACTAAAGACTGATTTTTAGTTTGATCTTATACAATATATTGTGATATAACACCATGTTCCAAGCTTTTTGGAGGTTTGGGATTTCACACACATTTTGTATATGCCTTTGCCAAGGCAGGCGTCAGTTATGAAATTGTCGTTTTTGCTGTCTTCTGCCTATCTTTCTTTTTTATAAATGCGGCCATTTTGTTTTCCTTTTTTTTTTTTTTTTTCTTTTAATGTTTTTATCATTTTGTCAACACGGAGGGCTTTATAAATTACAATACGGTTCGTTGTTTTCTGTTTGTTTAGGGCAATACAGTGATCGTAAGTTCTTGGACATTCTTGCCCATTGTATTTGTTGGTGGATAGTTGTCTCACTGGAAATCATACCAGGTTTCCTTATTTATCGCTCGATTAAGGTAATTCCAATTAAATTAAAATTCAGTTCTGTCATTTTCCGAGCAAATAAATAATACGTATTTATTTTGAAATTGACTATGTAATTTTAATAAGATAGGTAAAACCAAAGTAATACCCATCGGATATTTCACATTTTCTAGCTCATAAAGTTCATAAAGTTCAATATTTCAATAAATAAAATTGTTCGATGACTTTAAATTGATATAAATATGAGGAGATGTGGTATGAATGCCTACATGTCGCACGTTTATCTGGATTAACTCCATCCCAGTACCTGATAGTCTATGTGGACCGTGGATTATTCGTTGTATTTTATCTTGATTCGTACGTCTATTTTATTTTGAAGAGTTGTGTATTGAATATCCATTAGTTCTATTTGATTTATTGTATTGTCCAGTGTGTTTAGATATTCCTGGTATGCATTTTTGTTTTATCAAATCCATCTCCATGTTTACATGTTTACATATAATACACGGCAAACGATAAAAATCGCGAGCCATTAACATTTGGACGAAAACATTGTTAAATGGGTGATACCAACAGGGATTACAATTGTACAACAAAAAATTAAATACATTAGAAAATTTATAATAATAGTTTCATTACACGTTTTATTTTGAATTTAACGGTATTTTGTTTTGTTATTATACTACATTATATAATATAATTAGGACGTGATTTATTGTTGTCGAAAATTAAATTTTCTCGAAACTTACTTTCTGTTAGGAATTTCATTATATTTACTTATCAAACAGTAAGGAAATGAGAGCCGAAGTGTGGTGTCAGCTCCAATCAACTAAAAGGGACAATGCCAAAGACACGGAGAATCCACAAAACTTATGAAAAATTTATGTTACCATTTTATCAAAAACAAAGTTCCTTCAACATATTGATTTATTTATTAATATGTTTTCACTTTGTATCAGGTCTTTCATAATGATTTTTGTCAAGTTTGGTTCAGTTTGCTCCTTTATTTCTAAAATGTGATTAAATAGTGAACAGAATAACGAAAATGCTGAATATTTACAACTAAATAAATGTTTTAGTTTTTATAATTATACGTCAACCAGTATTATAAAGTAAGATAATATTGTATTAAACTTACGTTGTAAAAAACTATTCACGTAAACACTAAAAGGTATTGATTTATTTAAGACGATAAATGTACAAATAAAGTTCTAACATCTTCAGCACAAACGAGTGACGATGGCTATCATCATGTATAGATCGACAATAAATGGAATGAATTTTAAGTATAACAAGACTTTAAAACTTAAGCAAGCGAACTATATAAAACAAGGAGATGTGGTATGATTGCCATTGAGACAACTATCCACCAAAGTTCAAATTGAGTTGATTTAAGCAATTATAGGCAACAATGAGAAAAAAAAACCCATACCGTATAGTGGGCTATAAAAGGCCCTGACATGAAAATATGAAACAATTCAATTGAGAAAACTAACGGCCTAATTTATTACAAAACAATTTACGAAAAACAAATATAAAACTGAGGGAAACGCATCAAATATAAGAGGAGAACAACGACACAACAAAACACAACATTAAAAATGTAACACACACAGAAACGAACTATAATATAACAATGGCCATTTTCCTGACTTGGTACAGGACATTTTAAGAAAAAAATGGTGGGTTGAACCTGGTTTTGTGGCAAACCTCCTGCTTTAATGGCAACGTCAAACACAACACCAAAACGACAACATCACATGACAGGACTACAATACAAATAAATGGGAGAACATATAGGACAAAGAAACACACGAATAATAGCTATCAAAAGGTACTAAGCTTAAAATTTAATACGCCAGACGTGCGTCTCGTCCACACAAGACCATCCAGTGACGCTCAGATGAAAAAAGCTTGAAAGCCAAAACAAGTACAAAGCCAAAGAGTACCGAGGACCAAATATAAGACACGACTAAATTGCAGGCTTCTGACATCAGAGACAAAACTGAATATAACGGGGGCTTATCAGATCAACACGAAACACAATAAACACCTAACAAAACTGTGTCCATAATGGAAGATCCTATATAGTTTCTTTTTAATTTTATAGACTCAAGATGATTTTGTTAAAAAAATTGTTTATTGAAGAATGTTTGATGTCCTCTAGACATACTTAATTGTTTATGTCGAAGGGTTGTTGTCTAAAAGATGAAAACCACATCTTCTTGTTCATATATAGGCTTGCTTTTTGGTTTTCAATGGTTGACATGGAGATTTCAACTATATTTTGTCAAGCGTCATTGATTAATGATTAGCAGTCTAGTATTTTTTTTTTTTTTTTTGCTTTAGTTCTTTATTCCTTGATCAATTGGTCTATCAATGACGATTGACAAAAAGAATAAATAATTAAAGTAAAAAACAAAAATACTAGACTGCTAAAAATCATTCAATAACGCTTGACAAAACATAGTTGAAATCTCCATGCCAATCATTGAAAACCAAGAGGCAAGCCAACAATGCACTTTCTTATAAATTTTATGAAAATCAATTTTATGAAATTCGTTCGGAGAAATTGACCATTTGCAGTTTTGGTTATTATAGATGGTATTTTCAAAACTTACAACAGAAGGTCAAATACATTAGAAAAATGATATTCACATCACACGTTTTATTTTAATGGTAAAAGGATTTTTTGTAATGATACCGCATGAGATAATATAAATACGATGTATTTCATTGTTGCCCAAAAGATGAAACAGAACGGTAACTACAAATAAAAACACAATAGACACGATGAAAATTGATGTTACTGTTTTGTCAAAAACAAAATTCCTCCAACAGATCGGTTTATTTATAAAGTATTCTCCATTTTACGGTTTTTAACAGGTCTAAATACATGTAAAAATAAGTCGTGCATATAAAACATTTAAATTATTGATTTATTTTAGACAAAATAAAGGCAACAGTAGTTCGAAATTCATAAATCGATTGAGAAAAAAACAAATCCGGGTTACAAACTAAAACTGAGGGAAACACATCAAATATAAGAGGAGAACTACGACACAACAAAAACACAACATTAAAATGTAACACACACAGAAACGAACTATAATATAACAATGGCCATTAGTACAAAAAACGTACACACAACTGTCTGACATCTCCATCCCAAAAGACGGAAGATAGATATTCGTCATGCAAAAATTTATATTTGAATTGATTAGCTTGATACATAATACTAAAGGTGTAACGATTAACATTTTATATTAGATTTAGGTTCAATTGATACAACCTGCGTAACTTGTCCAGCACCAAACGATAAAGACGTTATTAAATTGATAAATTATGCTAAACGTCATGGTAAAATCTACATGCAAATTCTTGTCACTAATGAAAGAATTAATTATGTTCGACAACTATATTCAAAGTGAAAAGCAAAGGTTGTCAAATTTGATCTTCGATGTTCAGATGGTGAGTATTTAATGTTGTATGCTTTTTTATTAGTACATTTTGTTGACGTTATCCATTTCATAAACTTATAAAATCAGTACCTGTTTAGAAGCTATTGTGTATTTATAATGAGATAATGAGTGTTGTGATGACATTTTCGTTTTTTATAAGGGAAAAAGGAATAAGAAATAAGCAAAAGATCCTAGAAAAGCAATAAGAGGCAAACAAAAACAGCAAAAGCCAAAAATGAAAACTACAAACAATCAATCGATGGTAAAAAAAAACTTTTAAAAATGCAAATATTATATAAACATATTAACACAAAACATGATCAGACAAATCTGTTTTGTAAATTGGGCGTATATGCTAGTAAAAAGCTGACACTCAAGAAAAAGGATGATTGCGTTTAGCTGACTTATTCCTTTTTCACCCATTTGATCGCTCATTAGGTTATGAATTTATGACTTCCATTCGATAATGCAGAAAAAAATCTTTCGATCAACATATTGAATAAATATTCTGGTGTCACATTTTTGGAGAATTAAACTTGCTTTGAATATTCTATAGTAATCTAAGGAATGTCATGGTTCTATGATGTCATATGATAAGACGAGACATTAAATAGTCCGTTATTTGGTATGCGTGAAATTAAAAAGGAAAGACATAGGCAAAACCTTAACTTTCAAATGTAAAGTTTGTCTGAATCACATGTAAATTTCTCATTAATGAAATAAAAGTTATAGACCATAGTAAATGACACCCATCGCTTTGGCATTCAGTTCAATTTTTGAAAAATGTGGACGACGGGCGTTTTTCTAACCTCAAAGTAGCAGCCTTTGCCATGGTTGCGAGGAATTAAGTGTAAAAATGTATAGCACATTTGAAAAAACTTTTTATGACTATACTAGCTGATAACTTCTATTAGTTTTTCGTCGTGCATAAAGAAACGTTTTTGTATGACTAAAAAAGTAAAAATGTGGCGAAGAAACAAAGCACTATTTACTTGGCTGATGTTTTTTTTATCCCGGTGGATGATTGTCTTATTGGTAATCATACCACATCTTCTTTATTTATATTAACAGCAAAATAGTACTCGACTCAGAGATAGTATAATACTTGATTTTTGCGTACAAAACATGTTTCCGAAATTATCATCAGATTGCTTATGACGTCTTCATAAGTTACATGGATTAATTGCTATTTAAGTCTGAAACATTATCCTGTAATTAGTAGAAGGTAGGTATTGAACTATATTTAATCTGGTTTTCTTTTCTTGGTTTCTTTTTTTTCAAAACAAATATACTACTTTTGAACATCGGCAAAATTTTGTTGCTCCTTACATATATACCATACAAGTAAATTTAATGTAATAACAAACTGTATCCTACAGAAGAGCAATATAATAATAAGGAGATGTGGTATGATTGCCAATGAGAAATCTATCCACCAAAGTTCAAATGATTTGTTTTTATTTGTACTCACATGCTGGTCAGTACCTAGTGTAAATGCAATAACTCAAAATATTCCGAAGATTGTTTGCATTTATTATGTATATGCTGCTAACAAATTAAAAATAACCGATTTGGTTCACGGTGATAAAGTTATGAGTCTAATTTCATCTATTGTTTTAAGATACCTTGGATATTGCATTTTATAACTGTTAACGTGATCTGTATTTGCCAAGCAAAAGCAAAGTACTCATTTAACGGATTGAAACCAAACGGCAACCTTTATTTATTTATCATCACGTTATTTTGTTCTTGGTGAAGTGTTCTCTCATTGACAACTATTCCTCGTCTTCTTTTTTTTTTTTATAAATGCGAAGAATATTACCAGTGGGATTCATGAGATATTCCTACAAGAAATTAGATACACATCTTAGAATAGCTATTGGTTTTTTCTCGATAATTTACTATCTCGATGACATTTGAAACAGTTTGAAGCAACGTTTGGTTTCAATGAGAAATTGCAAGTCATGGGCCTGTAATTTAGTCGTTGTCGCGTGTTGGTATATGTCATGTTTGTTTTTCGTTCGATGTTTTGTACATAAATCAAGCCATTTGTTTTCTCGTTTGAATTGTTTTATAATTGTCACGTTGAGGCCTTTCATAGCTAGTTATGCAGTATAGGTTTTTGATCATTGTTGAAGACCGTGCAGGGACGTGTTTTTACCTTTTACGTCATTTCAATCTCTAGTGGTTTTTTGTCTCATTGGTAATTTTACCAAATCTTCTTATTCTTATTAACATATTAAATCATTTTCTCAAATTAATACATTACTTTTGTTATTGTTTGCCTCTTTTTCAGAGCTAACAGGTGATATTGCCGATGAAGTTAAAGATTTGTCATTTTTGCCAACTATGGATATGAAGAATAGTTGTAGGATGATTTCTTAACCGACGTAAATTATATCAGAAAATAAGTTACACCAGTGTCTTATAGAATGATAGTACGTGGTCAATTGTCATTTTATTTTTAAAGATATATTCATGTGAATATATATATTACACACAACCAATTTTAACTTTTAACTTTATAGAACGTCCAGTTATCGGATGGTTATTCAGTGGTTGTCGTTGGTTTCTTATCTAACATATGTGTTTTTCATTTCTTTTTTAAGCATAAATTAGGCCATTGTGTTTCTAGTTTGATATTTTGTCAATTCGGGGCCTTTTATACGATATGGGTTTTACTTATTGTTGAAGGCGGTAAGATGACCTATAGATAACTACATATACATCATTACGTCTCTGATGAATATTTTTCACATTGTCAATCTTGTAACATCCTCCTTTTTTCTATATTGAAGAAATATTTATGTAAACAAATCATCAAATATGTACATATGTAAGTATTATTGATCCATATATCGATTAGTATTATATGTACTTACATGCTGGTCTGTTCCTAGTGCAAATACAATTACTTATAATCCGCACCTCATACAAAACGTGCTTCGGTCAATACTTTTATAATCCAATAAAACTACAATAAGAAACATTCAAATCTTAATTAAAAGATGTTTTATGAATGTAGTACATTTTGTATATAATATACGAATAAACAGTATTTTGCTGTCCGATATGTAAACGTTCTACTCATTTTACAAACACATTATTGGGAATGTATCCATATTCCCATCAAGATTGGTTGACTTGATTAATGTAACGGCGTATTTTTCACTTCATCGCAACTTGACTGTTATTGTTAAACCATCGTGTCTTATTAGTTTATTTCAAAATTATTATTTTTGGATTGAACATCGATTAAAATTTGTCACTCTGTATTCTTTTAAATTGTATTATTTTTTAGATGAAATAAGTTTGATATTTCACACAATACTTAGTTCTGCTTTCTACACATTGGCTTTCAGACATAATTGTTTTCTTTTATTTCTATATTATATATCAGGCCGTTTGTCTTCACTTTCTAAATAAAAACATTTTATTATATTGCTAATAGTTGAAGTCCGGTTCTGTAGTTTTTTTTACATCTTTGTCATTAAGTTTTTGGTGAATAGTTAACTCATAGTAAATCATAGGACATCCCATTAAAGGTGCATAAGTTACGAGATATGTAAAAAAATATGATTTGTTTTTGTATAAACATTAATGAAAGCGAATGGTGAAATGATAATTCGCTTTAAGAAGACATTTTGGTTCAATTTTGTCAAAATAAGCTAACAAACATCGCTGATGAATTATTCATTTGCAAGTGAATACTTTGACCTCATTGAACCCGTATTTATGTGACCTTTAATTTAGCCCCTTAGCTGGAGATGGGTTACGCATGTAATTTGCTATTAAAAGGAGTCATCAGCATTGAAAGTGAAACAAGGATGAACAACTTGGTTGACTGATTCGATCCATAAAAAATCATTGTTATACAGGTAAAAATTATGACAAACATACTTTTCAACCTACAATATGAAATCAAACAGACATAGAAAAAGCCAATTCCACGTGGCCGCTATCTATTTATATTTATAGTCATGTTTATATCGGGATATATGACTGTCGGCAGTCTTCGGATGCCATCTCAATGGTTAATTAAATGACGTCTAGACAAATATACACACGAAATGCTGATACATATTATCATTGTTAATTGTTTATTTTAAACTTTTTGTAATCTGGATATGCGTTTTAGTATGTTACCAATCAACTATGAAAATTTGAATCAAATCGGTGAACTTGAATTTGACAACTAATGCCCCTTTAATTCAAGTATCAGATAAGCTCGTTGATGGTTTTTCCAACTGAATGAATATGTATTTAGGTATTTCATTATCTTATCTAATAAATATAATGATTGAGACATTGTATATCAAATATTGAAGGAGTATGATTATAATAAAACAAAAAGTAATCTGTGTCTGGTATTCTATAGCATGAAAACATTAAAGATCTTTAAACTTTACAAATGTTTCTCAATGTATTATTTATGCAATAGAATCTTAATGCATTTCTTTGAAAGCATTAACACAAAATGATATTAAATAACGATGATAATCTTCTTTAGAGCAGCATGAAATAACAGATGTCATTGTTAGTAACCATCCATCTATTTTGTTTTCACTATACTTTTAAAAAAAATTCCAACGACACATTTTGTTTTGTTCTTTTCCATTCACCAAAATCAAAACTGTTTATAATAGTAATTAAATTTAAAAAAAAAACGTTTACGTTATCACTCTTTCACTCAAAAATCGATTATTTATATTGATATATCAATTTGGTCTTTTGGAAAATGTTGTTTGTGCTGTATTTAGACCCCTCTACCAAGAAATTTGTTTGCATGCACACGTATAAAAATTGCGGTTTTTATCCAACGAAATCATAGGTTTGAACGTTGTTTTTAATTTAGACTTGTTTATATTTTTTCGTTTGGGCTTGTATTATATTTGCCTTCGGGTTTATATGATCCGTTCATCCTATTTCGACTCTTTCAAAATTCAAGTGTCTATCCTAAATTGAGGTAAATTATATGGCCTTACAAATACCGTTTCGATTCCTAACATCACTGAAGAGACATTAATTGTCGAAATCCGGATATGGTGTACAAATTTTTGCACCACATGTTTGCGGTATACCATTTTTTCCGCAAGTTTATTGTTTTCTGTTTGGTAATAAATTAATGATAAGATCTATTTTGTTACATTTTGTGATCCGTTTATCTGGCAATCGCCAATGGCAGTCAGCAGGGTTTAAGAACATCAGTTGTTCGACCTACTAGTCAAATGCGTTTTGTTAAAATATACTTTTTCACTCATTTGGTCTCTTGGAAAATGTTGTTTGTGCTGTATTTAGACCCCTCTACCAAGAAATTTGTTTGCATGCACACGTATAAAAATTGCGGTTTTTATCCAACGAAATCATAGGTTTGAACGTTGTTTTTAATTTAGACTTGTTTATATTTTTTCGTTTGGGCTTGTATTATATTTGCCTTCGGGTTTATATGATCCGTTCATCCTATTTCGACTCTTTCAAAATTCAAGAGTCTATCCTAAATTGAGGTAAATTATATGGCCTTACAAATACCGTTTCGATTCCTAACATCACTGAAGAGACATTAATTGTCGAAATCCGGATATGGTGTACAAATTTTTGCACCACATGTTTGCGGTATACCATTTTTTCCGCAAGTTTATTGTTTTCTGTTTGGTAATAAATTAATGATAAGATCTATTTTGTTACATCTTGTGATCTGTTTATCTGGCAATCGCCAATGGCAGTCAGCAGGGTTTAAGAACATCAGTTGTTCGACCTACTAGTCAAATGCGTTTTGTTAAAATATACTTTTTCACTCATTTGGTCTTTTGGAAAATGTTGTTTGTGCTGTATTTAGACCCCTCTACCAAGAAATTTGTTTGAACGTTATTTTCAATTTAGACTTGTTTATATATATATATATATATATATATATATATATATATATATATATAAAAGTTATGTTTATATATATATAAAAGTCTAAATTGAAAACAACGTTCAAACCTATGAATGCGTTGGATAAAAACCGCAATTTTTATACGTGTGCATGCAAAACAAATTTCTTGGTAGAGGGGTCTAAATACAGCACAAACAACATTTTCCAAAAGACCAAAAAAGTGAAAAAGTATAATTTAACAAAATATCACTGAAGAGACATTACTTGTCGAAATCCGGATATGGTGTACAAATGTTTGCACCTCATGTTTGCGGTATACCATCTTTCCGCAAGTTTATTGTTTTCTGTTTGGTAATGAATTATTATAAGATCCATTTTAAAACATCTGGTGATCCGTTTATTTGGCAATCGCCAATGGCAGTCAGCAGGGTTTAAGAACATCAGTTGTTCGACCTGCTAGTCAAATGCGTTTAGTTAAAATATACTTTTTCACTTTTTTGGTCTTTTGGAAAATGTTGTTTATATATATATATATATATAGAATTGGACAACAGGAACTATCAAAACTATTTTACAGTATCAAGCTCCATTCATACTTTCAAAATGACAATGCCGTTTGTTTTTCTTTTCTGACAGATTTCAAACTTATTACTGGTTTGTTACATTGATGATTGATATCAAAACTTTATTTTGTCAATAGATTTTGAATGTTTTATAAAACTCTCCCCATACAATAACTATTGTAAACGAAATTCAATTCCATTTTCTTTTAAAAAGGTATGTATTTTGATTCAGTCCATATCATCATGGGAGTAAAATTGTTAATTAAAATCGATTTCCCCTGCTTGCAGAAATACTGTTACTGTGTTCAATATTATTATTATTAATATCTATAGTATACTTTAAGATTATCAACAACACTTTTCTACAAAATTTATCAGCCAAATTGCCGATAACTTTAAAATGATAATTGTTTCAGTTGTGGTATTATACAAGACAATGACCGGAACATAAACAAGAAACCGTAGATACTCTTTTCGGATAGATTAAGGATATGAGGTCATTGTTACAACTCAGAATTAAAAAAAAACTTAATGTGACTATTAATATTTGAGCTGCAGGTGTTGCAAAAAAACTTTGCTACCACAATGACAAAAACTCAATCCCAATTTTATATTCATTTTCGTGTCTACACTAAAACAAATCTATTCTATTTTTATAAATTTACCTGTGATAATATACACGTCACAAAAATACATTTCTTTTTGTTACGTTGATACATTCGTGTGACGCGCAGTTTATACTTCGTTTGAGGTGTACTGATGTACTATCGTAAATTTATGGGAGGTGTTCGTTGTTATTCTGTGGTTTACATGTTGTAATGTACTATTATATTATTTATTTATGTATTTCTCTGTCCTGAGTGTGCTTGCATTTATTTGTACTGTATTTCTGTCATGTAATGTTGTTATTTTAGCGGTATGTTTAACATTGCCATATAAGCGGAAGGTTTGGTTAGCCATAAAAACAGGTTCAACCCACCATTTTTTATTAAAATGTCCTGTACCAAGTCAGGAATATGGTTATCAGAAAGTCCGTTTCTATGTATGTTGGCGTTTGTTTTTGTTGTAGTTCAGTGTTTCTGTTATCCGTTGTTTTCCTCTTATAGTAGATGTGTTTCCCTCGGGTTTAGTTTGTAACCCGGATTTGTTTTCGCTTAATCGATTTGTGACTATTGCACAGCGGTATACTACTGTTGCCTTTATTTGTTGTCCACAAAGAAAAAGCCCGAACAATATCTTTTTTGATTGTAAATCATGATAAAAAAAGGGAGGCAAATGATACCAAAAGGACATTCAAACTCACAAGTCGAAAATAAACTGACAACGCCATGGATTAAACGAAAAAAAAGACTAACAAACAACAGTACACAAAACACAACACAAAAAACCGGACTGAGCAACACGAACCCCACAAAAAACGGAGGGTGATCTCAGGTACTCCAGAAGGGTAAGCAGATACCTGCTCCACATGTGGCACCCGTCGCGTTGCTCATCATGTTAGTACAAACCCGGTGATAAGTCTAAATCGGTAAGTCGCATTCGTGGAAAAGGGGACAGTAGTCACGATAATTGGAACAGATCCTTTGTCATCTGTGAAACAAATATTCCATAACGGTCAACGAACTCGTGATGCCGTCCGTAAATTTTACGATGGGACGATTCCAACTTCACCACTTGGAACTCTTGGTTTGATAGCTTCTTTGTGGGCAGCAACCCTCTATCAAAGAAATCATGATAGGAAATACAGGCCCTGAAATATCGTATCAACTGGGAGATAGATAATCCGTATGCAGGTGCTGCTGGAATGTTGCTACATAGAAACGGAAAGTTCACAATTGGAAAACTGAAGTCGTCTCTTTTGTCGTAAAGTTTTGTTTTCAACCGACCATCATTGTCAACTTCTAGAAGTAAGTCCAGAAATGAGGCTGACAACTGTTTATTTTGTATCCTTAAGGTATCTCAAGTTCGATGCGATAGATTCGTTCAACATAGTCACCACATTTTGAATTATTTAGTGAGAGAATATTATCTTTATAGCGGAAAGTGAGGTTAAAGGATACTGCTAACTTCTTTTATTTCTTCCTAAGAAGTTCCTTCATGAATTCAGCCTCATATGAATAAAGGAACAAGTCGACAAGAAGAGGGGCACAGTTGGTTCCTATGGGAATGCCGATTGTTTGTTGAAAAACACGTTCTACAAATGTGACAAATATTTTGCCAATCAAGAAATCAAGCATCTTGATAATGTCAGTTTCAGAGAATTTTTTGTTTGAATCAGAGTGAATTTTTACAAAATACGATTTATCCCTCCCTAAGACAAGAAACTTGTATATACGTTGGCCATTCTTTTTTATGAAAAGAAGTTAATAAGTTATAAATTATTTGACAGACGGACGAATTCTGTTTTACAGTTTACTTGTAAACCCATCATTAACCACCCAGGAAACATCCTTAAGAGGTTGTTCTGAACAATCATATGTCTTTATTGTGTGTTCAGTGTCAGTTAAAGAAGAATTGGATCTTCCTTCACACTACTGGTAACTCAAATTATATTAGTATCCTTAAAAAATCGTTACATATATAGCTGCCTTTACCAATTATCCACGAAACCTATTTCCAAATATTAGCATCGACATTTTCAACAATTTGAACCGGGTTCGAGTAATTCTTAACCTACCTACTTTTTAGGCTGTGCGATCCAATTGTTGATAATAGAATAAATATCAGTTTGATCACATATCCTTTATGTCACTCTTCTTGCGCAATGCTATACAATCATTTTACTTTTCTACGCTTTACACAAGTTTCCGTCAGTATAAACTTAAAGACAGGTTGACAGAATAAGTTCAACTTTATTTGATAAAAAAATGGCCAACTAAAATAAAAGAATCTTATTTTATTAAATGGGTAGGTCATACCT